ATGATCAGTTCCGCTTATTTTATTGTAGGATGATCAGTTATTATACCTTTTGTTTTTAGATGATAATACTGGTATACTCCTGCTTAACTTGATTATTACAGTAACTTAAAATTACTACTATCTACTATCTTCCACTACAGTGTATGTATTACTATTGTCAATTGAACAGCTTCTGTAATTTCTTTGCCTTGAAAGTACATTACCCCCTGTTTTTCTATAATTGGTTTGATTTTATATGATTCTTGGTTTAAAAACGAACACTGTAAAGGAATAGTTTGTAGTTTACAATTCTTGCCAACCATTTGCATTTCTGCCCCTTAAATATTATCTCATATATAACACAAAAGCACATTTGTATATTTTAATTTTGTATAATTCAACCGTAAAATATTTATGTCGAATAACTGGACACCCCTAGCCTGTATTTTGATACCAAGACGGAGTCCATCATTCGTATTTGTTCCACTTTATATTTGTCCAATACGAAGACATGTTGCTTTTATTGGAAGGCTCTTTATAATTTTCCTTAAAAAACATATGAAATAATTTATACTTTATTGATTAATTTAAAAATTTGAGTTTCTTCTTTTACCATTGTCATATTGATTTTTGCTATACTCTTGTTACTTGTTACAATGTATTTATGTAGTGATCTCCCATGAGTACTGCATGTCGGAATGTGGGACCTTCACGGTTTCGGTGATTTAGTTTGCCTGCCCCATTCCTGGCAACTTGTAATTGCTCATGGGAATCACGATGATTTTCATCCTTTGTTTTGTATGATTTTTTTCTTCTATGTAATCCTCTGTATACACTTTGTTTTGCCGAATAAATAATAATAATAATAATAATAATCAAAATTTACCGGGAGCATCGGTAAATTTTTACATTAAATTTTTTTTTAAAGCAGAAGTGTTTTAAGGGCAAAATTTTTTAGAGCTTATTCTACATCCACAGGGGCACCCAAACATATTAAAATTGTAAAGAATCACTATCCACCCAATTTTCAAAATTTCCCAAAACTTTGTATTTCCGGTCATGGGTGTCGTTCTGTAATTGATACCTATTGTTCAGGGGGGGGGGTATGATCTATTCATTCATCCCCTGAACAATAGGTATTACGTAAGGATCGACACCCATGTTTCCGGTACCTTTAAAGTGACGGTGACGTGGCGTGAGCCTGCCCGCTGGTAGTTACCGGTACGGTGCTTCTAATATGACCTTGTCGGTATTGGGATCTTGAATTAAAACGGTCCGTGCGCTTTTCAAATCCCATCCCCCCTATTGGAAAATCCTTGATACGCGCCTGGATAAATGCATGGTTTCCTGTGCTATAATATGTCAAGTACCATTACACTAAAAAAAAAAAATAAGCATCATAAACAAGTTCGTATTTGGAAAATCTACCCTCTAAAAACCCTTAAATGGCCTACGCACACGGTAAAAGAATGTACATGTACTATATAGGGTACTTTCCTGAGAGATAATAGCAGCAGCCCTATACGATTCCGAACGTGGGGGGGGGGGGGGGCTCTCGCTGATATTAAATCTTGGATCTATTGCGTGTGATGTACATGTATGTATGCCTAGGCCTACGGTGTGGATTTTTTTTGGTTAATACAACAATATTTGTAAAGAGAACGCTCCATCTGTTGGTTATTGGATTTTCAGTACAATTAAATTGCCACCTTACTGTCTGTTTACGATAGCACTGAACAATAGGATATACATCACTTTCCCACGCCACAGAAGTGTCAAGTTTGTTAATACGGATGCATATTTTTCCATTATAAAGTTTCTATCTAACCTACTCTAAGAGAGTATATTAATGCTGATTAAAACAAATAAAATACAAATCCTTGAAATTAACTTTTTTTACTACGTCCGCAGTTTCATAAAAATAAGATGGTTCTGAATTTTGCAGGAATTTAAGGTTGAAAGATTATTTTGAAAGTAAGTATGAAAATCGAAGACAAAAAAGAAATCCAAAGCCAGGGAAATACATTGATTTCCTAGATACTTTTAGTTGCTGTCATCCCTTTTCGGAATTGATTGCGAATGTGGAAAAATGACTCCGCCGGGAATCGAACAAGGGTCACTGGCTATTAGAACACCAATGTCTTGACCACTGGACCAAGGAAACCGGCCAGAATATAAACAGGAATAAATACATTTACATTCATATTTCAAAATTATAATTGCGACATATAATTACGGCAACACTTGTACAGTAAAATGAACTCTTAACGATTGAAAAAAAAATCAAATTTACACTTTATCAGCACAATCATAATGAATATCATGATACAAAGGAGATATGATCGACATGATTGATATTACATAACATAATATGATCATGATCTATATATGATATCTTTATGTTATTGCATTCATGTGATATCACCTGACTTAACATTGCACGAAATGATAACAAAATATTTATTTTAAGATACGATATCATGTGATGCAAGAATATAATGTTTTTATGAAAAGAAACGATGTGAAATAGTATTGATGTGACAAGGTATGATTATGATAAAAAAACACAATATGTTATCACTATGAGAATATAAACTGTCGCTCATAACGTTGGAATATTTTATTTTACCCCAATTTATGGAATTATTTTGACAATGATTTATTCCTAATAGACCTAGATATGGTATACATTCTCAGATATTATTGAATAATGATTTGCCAGTGTTTGTTTTGCGTGACTGCTAAAGCATGTGTATGCTAATATGCTTATCAACTAGGGGACCTACGCCCTTAAGTCATAAATGACAGTAATGAGGATTAATGCCCCACAAAAGGGCACTAATATGGCACATCGACACGGTTTTGATCCTGGGGCCTTACAGTTACGAGGCCATTGCTTTGCCACTGAACCATGACTGTACGCAGCGGGGGCTAGGGTAGGGGGCAGTTCCCACAAATAAAAAAATTAAGAAAATTAAGAAAATGCAATAAATTATCAATAATTCATTGCATTTTACCCGGTCCCCAACATGAAAAAATCCTCTGTACGGCCATACATTATGGCTCAAGGCATGGGCACATGTCAGGGCCCGAGGAACGGCGGGGCTTGGGGGCTCAAGCCACCCCCTCACTAGAATAAAGTATGTGTAAGATATTAAAATAGAAAGAAAGGAAGAAAGAACAATTGTGACCTGCCAGTGCCACAAAATTAATGAGGTATCAAAATATGCCCATCTGACCGAAATTAAATCATCTGACCATTATTAAATGCCTAAAACCCTGAGCTTCATGGGGCTCAGTCCCTGGACCCCGGGCTAATTAGTGATAAGGTATAAATAAGGTATCAAAATATGCTCATCTGACCGTAATTAATTTCCTAAACTGAACTCCTGAGCTTCCGAGGGGTCTGCCCTTGACCCCCGCTGTGGCTTTTTCCCCTGGACCCCAAGCCAACTTACGCTTCACTCGCTTCTCTCGCTACGCTCTACCTGATCGTAAATACTTAAGCCCCTCCCCCACCAACTTTGTCATTGAAAAACGTTCTGCGGGGCCTGCATGGCTGCATGTAACAGTGGTGGTGATGCGGATTTGCTAAAAATATTTATATTGTATTCATATGAATACGGAGTAAAATGAGCACGTTGTTATTTGTAAGCGAACGAGAGTGATAAAGTAATACAAACATGTAAAGATATAAAGAAAGTGTTTAATATATTATGACAGTCATGAAACACATACAGAGCACCACAAGTTAATGTTCTTGATTTCCAAATAAAAGGAAGTTCACATTGCAATATTGGTTCTAGCGAACAACTCGGCACGCTAAGCGAACCGTTAGTGATGAAGTCATTCATGAATTTAAATGTAAAGATATAAAGAAAGTGTTAAATATATTTTGACAGTCATGAAACACATATAGAGCACCACAGGTTAATTGTTCTGGATTTCCAAATAAATGGAAGTTTTCATTGCAATCACAGTTAAAGCAAATAACTCAGCACGCCGAGCACGCGTTGGCATTTTATAAGCGAACAAGAGTGATGATGAATATAAATATGTAAAGATATAAGAAAGTGTTAAATATATTTAGACAGACATGAAACACAGATACAACACCACAAGAGTTTAATTGTTCTGGATTTCCCCAAAAATGGAAGCTCTCATGTAATCATGTTTGTAGCTATAGAGCTGTTTCTTTATTTACTCCACAGGCATTCAAATTTCATTTCTTGCAGTTATAATGCGGGGTACAGCCTCTCTTTCCCCGCAAATTTAAAAATTACAACCTGACCGGATATGCATTTTTTTATGTCTTATCTCGCGTATTTTTGGGATAAATAACACTTTCACAAAGTGGATTCAGCCCCCCCCCCCCCCCCCCCCCCCCCCTGATGAAAATGTAAAAAAATTGCTCGCACATAACTTAAACTTGGGGAAATTCCCCAATGTTGATATCGGACAAGAGAGAGAAAACAAAAATTGTACCCGCTTGTATGTACCGGTACGGTGCTTTTAATATAACCTTGTCAGTATTGGTAAGTCGAGTTGAAATAATTCGGTCTGCGCGATTTTCAAATATCCGGGCCCCCCTATTGGAAAATCCTGGATCCGCGCCTGCACCCCCCCCCCTTTGGCGACGCCCCTGGATGGGGGCCGAAAAGGCCTTGCCTCCTAGGCTGTTGCCTCTCCCCCCCCCCCCCATCCAAAAAATAAGAGAGAAGAAAGGAAAGGAAAAGGAAAAGAGGAGATAAAGGGAAGGATAAAAAAGAGGAAGTAGAAAAGAAATGTAGGGGGATATCAGTTGCAATTTCCCGTCGAAATTGGTATGGCATGGGGCTCATTTTTCGCTTATTTTGTTAAGTATCATTTTTGCCAATTTGGTTTCTACAAGTGGGTATTCATGAGCTGGTTTGGGCTTCCTAAATGTGTACATGTATCCCCCAACTCCGGCCCATCGGCCCCAAACTTTTGAATGAGTGAGTCATCGGATCGGTACGTTATTGTTTGCACATGTACCGTACTTCTTGTGTACAAAATTAAGGCAGCAATCCGTAAGCAGCCAATCAAATCGCTTGCTTTTAGGATTAGCGGTGAGTTTGAACGAGGAAAACATGGCCACCATCGATGCGTGCGAAGAAAGGATTTGTAGGTAATACCGAGGTTTATTTTACGATTTGTTCGACAGTCTGCATTAATTTTATTGTTATTGATGGTGATATGAGAAAGTTTATAATGAGAAATTCACACAAAAATGTGAGAGAAAGATGTTTGTTTGAATCTTTTGGCTGATTCGCTGGGTCTTGGGTGTGTTTGTGTGTGCATGTTGTGAATGGAATTAGCGTGTCGCCATGGATGTGAACACCGGCTGCATGCATGGGCTTGAGCATGACAGCTGCGCTGGCCCCTGGCATCGCCCAGCCGATGGAGAGGCCAGGATGCACGGAATGGTCATCCGGCCTTGTCCGGACCTGGACAATGAAATAGGCCTTCATGTTCAACGGTCTGATGTGGAAAAAATTCTAATAAAAGATGACATAGAAATGTAGAGTAGACTCTAAACTCTATCATTTATCAATGTCATTCGCCTGATTTGGGGAATGTATATTCCGATTATTCCCAGCTGTGCCAGCAAAGCCAAAGCCAGGCATGGATCTTGGTCTAGATCTAGATCTAGATCTAGAAAGACTAGAATAGATAGACAGTTATTTGGGGGCCAATTTTGACCATTTGCATGTAAAGAATTGATGATATCAATCATCAATTCATTGAAAATGATTGATACATTTTTTTCATGAGTCATGTCAGAGAAATGTCTCTTTCATTCATTTTTCATAGATTTTTATTCTGTTATGTCGTTAAATAGGATCTGACAAGCTGATTATTCCAAAGCAGCATATCGAGGAGTTCCTGAACCCTAACTTATTTCGATATCGACATCATTTCAAGAAGATTAATGGAGACAATGGCAGCGCCCATGGAAGTAACAGTGTCTCAACTGAGTTGCAGTACGACATTCAGTACGTCGACCATGAATGATACTACAAGACAGAGTGAGTATGATAACTGACAAGTTCTCATGAACTTTCATAATTCAGGATGAGAAAAATAAGAAGAAAATGAAGGAGGATGAGGAGCAGAAGAAGGAGATGAAGAAGAAGAAGGAGGAGAAAAGAAAAGGAAAATAAGAAGAAGAATATAATGATTATTTTGTTGATCTTTTTCACTGTTGCCATTGCCAAATCAAGGGACAACATAAAATATCCATAAATTACAAGTTTTCTTGAACTTCCAAAATTTAGGAATGAGAAGGAAAAGAAAAAAATAAAGAGTAGGAGATGAAGAAGATTACGATTATTTTGTTGATTATTTTGTTGATTTTCTTCACTGTTGCCTAATCAAGGGACAACATACAACATCCACTATAAAAGGAGTAGAAAAGATACTAGACGTACACGTGGGTTATAACTATAATAAAAGAATTGTATTATTACTGTTATCCTTATCCATCATCATTAACACTGATCATTGTCTTCATCTTTATTCTGATTAGTTGTTGGAACTTGGACAAAACCTGGACAAAGTCTTGAATCGATGGCTCTCATGAAGTCATATTTCATTTGCTTAACCCTGATACACCAGCTTCATTTCTTTTAGTTTTAGTTACTTTTGATGATAGTGAAAAGAAGACATTAGACAAGTAGAGGCAATGGCTCCCTTTTCAAGCAGTTCAGTGCTTCACATTTTAAATCTACTGTATTGTAATTACTGTCCTATGTCATTCTATCACAGGTTCATTGACTGCTGTAGATGTTAGGTTTTGTTTGATAGGTACTGAGCTTAGACATCATACACAGCTTCATAATGCATTACAAGTGAGTATAATTCCCTTATCCGTGAAAAATTATCTTTAATTGAGTTCAGATGCCCCTAAAGTTTCTGTAGTATCAGAATTAAACAAAGAGCTGCCGTAAAGAAATCTTTGTTGCTGTAAAAAGGGAAAAAATGCTGAAGGTAATTTTTTAACTCACAAAAACATTCTTCACAAGGAAATAATGAATTGTATTATTTTTTAACATGACATAACCAAGTAATGAATGATTAACTCCCGCCCTGCCCAGTGGTTATGAGCCATGAATGAGTCCACATATAGCTGTTTATTCCAGGGAATTAGCTTCTACTATCCTACTTATATTCTATTTGCTCTTTCTGGATCCTACCATCTTAAATAATGTGCACTTTTTCTTTCTGTATTGCAGAAAATGAAGATGCCCTACGTGTTCTCAGACACGGGGCAAGAGTACAACATTGAAGATGACCAGGCAGAGACTGTGTTTGTCATGGCTGAGTTTGAAGGAGAAATCTTTGATGCGCTGTCGAGTAATAGCCGACACATTCTAGGCACCACAGCAATATTACAGAGTGCAGCTACAGATGAGGTGAGTTGATTTAGACTGTGATGGTGAGAATTTGGAAACTGGTTACAACAAATTCCTTTAGACCAAGATAATAACCTTATATTGAAATCTTGTCCTATTTAAAGCTCCTCACCACCCCCATCCTCCCCCCCCCCCCCCAAAAAAAAGAAAGAAAAAAAGGTGATACAATAAAATGAACAAAAAAACAACTAAGACTCTCAAAATACCTAGACGTAATGACTGGTTTCCTTGATAACGAGGTTCACTGTATAAACAATTGGCCGAGATTACGATTGTACAGTACTTTTTTAAAAAGATTTCTCAACTTGTCTGTGATTATAAGTTTTATTGCAGTGTGCCCAGCTTAGACAAATATGATAGATTGCCCACTGGAGTCTCTATGTAATGTACAGTTAAACCTGCTTTTAATACTGACCACCTGTCTACAAAGACCAAATTTTTTTTTTCCTTGAAAATGGTTTCTCATGGGAACATGTACTATAGGCACCTGTCTACAAAGACCTCCTGCCTTTAAACACCACTTTTCTTGTCTCCCTTGGGTGGTCTTTATAGACAGGTTTCACTGTACAAGGAACTAACCATGCTTTATCTATCTCCTCTTGTGTTTCTTCAGCATCTCCCCTGTGTGACGAGGCCACTGTTCTGCAGACACATGGACAAGCTCGTTATCTGCTTCACAGGATTCTTAGACAAGGCTGAAATCAAGAGACTAGTCGTACTGGTTCACAACATGGCTGGTAGCATCCGCAAAGACTACGGCCCTCGGGTCACCCACCTCGTGGCCAACTCGTCCAACAGCGAGAAGTACAGGGTGAGTGGGATGATGATGTTTACATAGAACCACTTTGGAAAGAGGACCTTAATTGTTCCTACAACGAGGTGCTTGAGGCCTTTCCCCAAACCCCAAGATCATTATGATGGACAATATCCAATGTGTGTGTGTGAGTTTAGTTGGGTTTTTACAGACGTGTTTCAATCAGAAATGATAATTTACGTCTGGGGACCTACCTCTAACGTCACCCTCATTTTGCAGCCATTTTATACAGTGTAGATCACAACATAACGGTTGTCTTTTTGCTTCATCTGTCTTTGTGAAAATCATTAGAAGGGGTGTCGAAGTCAAGCAGTAGGTGACATCAGCAGATGTGGGGAGCACAACTGTGCCCTGTATCATAAGGCTTGTTATCAATAAATGATACATTTCTATGACAAATTTGTTCTCAGCCAATCAGATGCCACAATTTCGGTAGCTTATAACAGTTATTGTCACTGATGATCGATGACAAGTTTTATGAAATAGGGCCCTGGTCCACTCATTTGGAATTCAGCCCCTCCTGCCTTTTTTTTTATAGGATCTTTGATCTGCCCCTGATGTAAAGAACGTTCTAAGTAATTGCCTATATTACAGATAAAATGTGTTTAAAGGTAAAGACCAGTATTGGTAACGCCCCAATTTCAAAAAATGAAATGGAAGCTCTCATTACCAATCATGTGAAAGAATACGTTTTGACTAATACATGATGATAAAAAATTTGCCGGGAAACCGCCTACTAATTCATATATTTGGTAAATTTATTTCTCTCATGGTCGTGTGAGAGAGATAGGGTAGTCCCATATACATCTTTCTGTGTATAGTGCTTGTAACTTTACGAAGAATGGGCCAAATTTCTTATCATTTTGATGATTCCAGAACCTTGCAGATGCTAGATGCTAGATGATCAACCTTTTCTGATCGATTCCACAACGTTTCTTTCACAATGCAATCGCATGACCATTACTGGTCTTTACCTTTAATCTTTAGAGTATGGTATGTAATGTCCCTGAGAACAAATCATTAGCTGACGAGCATGAGGGTGTTGACTCTTATCCATCAACATTGGGTCAACACTCTTACTTTGGAGCGATTGATAATAATAATTCCTCAGAAATTAAGAATTTCTTGTAATAATTTTATTATGTGCAAAGTGTATTTGTATAGTTACCCAAAAAAATTGAATGATGTATGAAAAAAATAATATAGTAATAACTTTGTTTATCTTTCTGTTGAAAATGAAATAAATATGAATTGACTTGAATTGAATAATGGCTGAAATGTTCTGTTTGAGTAATGACCAATGACGATTGTATCTTCTGCATGCCTCAGGTTGCTGTGAGTTTAGGCACACCCATCATGACCAAAGAATGGATCCAGGCTACCTGGGATAACCGTCACAAACAAGAATGCGGGGCAACATCAGAAGAAATGGTGAGCATTCTTTAAAGGCCGTCTGTACTAGTTTGACTAGGAGGGATTACTTTAGACCACACAGGGTGGTCACTGACAGGTGGCTATCTCATCAACTCAACTCTCAATTAACATAAGAAAAAGAGGATCATGGGGGACCAATGGTCACTGATTAGGCATTGTTTTCTATATAGAGGGAGCAAGTAGCTACAAGTAGTACAGTAGGGCTTTAAGTCCTTCCTTTCTAATATTCTCGTATCATTGCTCTTCCAATTTTTCTTTTTTGTTTATTTCACATATACACACAGAAAATTGTGGTAGAACAATGGCTAATCACTTGTGTGACACTGACTAGGTTTATGAGAAAAGAATCGTGCATGAACTTCAAAAAGTTTTTTGTTTCATTGTAAATTTGAGCTTTGAGTAAACTCCTTTAAACAAAGTTTCACTTTGTGTATCTGTTCTTATCTCAAGAAGAAAAAAGTGAATTGCTACATTTCATCGAAACTTACAGTAGAACTACAATCTTTGGTAAATTTTCTACTTTTTGGCATGAAAAGGAATAAGGATTAAGAAGTATTAATGACTTTTTATTGTTACATTTTTATTTTTCAATCCTCTTAACATTTTTCTTGTGTGTCTGTTTTGCCAGCTGAAGTATAAGATGCTTCCATTTTTCGGATGTACCTTGGGCTTTGTAGGCTTCACACAAGATGATCAGAGACACATGGAAGAAATCACACAAACACAAGGTAAGTACTATTGAAACGTATGTGCTCAACTTTGCAACACATAGTTTACACACAACAAGATTTATTTTGCTCTTTCTGTTTGTATATAGTTATCTATTTTGTGGAGGAACCGATAAACATGTGCATGTGGTTGTAACACTTTGAGTCTATTATACATCTCATCTCTCCCGCTTTCCATTTCTCTCTCTCAATCTTTTGCTTGCTCTCCCACTCTCCCTCTCTCTCTCTCTCTCTCTCTCTCTCTATCCATCTCTTGCTTGCTTCCTCTCTCTCTCTCTTTCTCTCTTTCTCTACCTTTATACCTCTCACTCCCTCCCTCTCATCCTCTCTGTCCTTCTCTCTGTTCTCTTTTTCTCATTCCTTCACTTTATTCTTTCACACTTATCATCCCTTTCTCCAATTCATGCTCCATATGTCTAGCAATTATCAAAAGCTTACTCATATCCTCTTCTTTGTATGCTTTTCAGGTGGCAATATAGAGACCATTGCCAATGATTCATGTACACATATAGTCGTTGATGAGAACACCGTAGCTGAACAAGTCTTGGATTATCCAAGCAAGATTAAGGTTGTCAAACAAGAGGTAAGGGTCATCATGTAAAACTGAACGCTGTAAAATAAGAAACTTTTTCACGAACTGAAATGTTCACAAATTTCTCAAGTTGATCATGGCATCGTTGCATAAAAATTACCATCGATGGTAACTTTGCCGTAAATGGTAGCTTCCATGGAAACCTTGATTTGATTGGCTGTTGAGTGATGTTGTCATGGTAGTTCACATTGATGGCTAAGTTAGCATCACTGGTAAGTTTAATGCAACTTGGCCATGATTCTGCAATATAAACAAATCACGATAGACACAACAATGAAATGTGCTACTGGAAAATCAAGAAAATCACTCTCATCTACAAATTTACAAATGTGAAAGTTTCATGTCACAAAAGATTCCAGTTTTACAGTAAGGTTATTTTATGGAAGTTAAAGTATAGCAGTTTGTTGGACAAAGGAAGTGTTACTTCATGAGGGGGCTATGAGAAGTAGATTCCAGCATAGCCATTAAAAATGTTTGAAATATGCCCCCTTATCACATGTACTAGAGATTTGAAACAGATTTTTTAAAACATGATGATAGCATTACTAAGTTATTCTGATTTCTTAAGAGAAAATATAGTTATATAGTATGCTGGTTTTAGATCATTATCAGATTTCATTTGGCACGATTATTTGAAAGCTTCACCTTTTTATTAGTAGTGAATAAACAGGATCAATTTAAATTATTTCTTGTGGCGTTTTTCTTCCTAGTGGTTCTGGGCCAGCATTCAAATGGACGCAAGAGCAGATGAAATTCTCTATACTTTCAAAATGGTAAGTACCTGCCGATTGTTGTGTATCTTCACTTTTTATTGTTGTTGTTATTTCACCATTCATTATCAACAGTTTAACAATGGAAATATTAAATTTGCCATGGAAAACACAAGAAAAAGATTGTTCAGTGTACCTATTGGATGTTTTCCTGACTTTGGAATGAAATACAAGACCGTGACTATTTAAACAATGCAAAAAATGACGTCAAATATGACTTTTGATTGATGTAAAACAGTTTGCAGTTTTTACCTGGAAAGAAAGAAGTGTCCTTTCTTCATATTCTCTCTGACTTTTACCTAACCCACCCCCTTTCTGTCTCTCCGAATCTCTGAATCTCTGCCCCCCTCCCCCTCTCTCTCTCCCTCTATCTCTCTTGTTCTCCCTTTTCTCTCTCTCTCTTTCTATCTCTGTCACTTTCCTTCGTTCGCTCTTGATTATCTCTTCTGCTTGTCTATCCCCTATCCCTCTCTCTATCTTTCTATGTTTACTACCACCACAACTAAAACCATTTTCTCTATCCCCACCAGCCGTCCACCCCTGCATCCCTCCATGGCACACCCACCCTCATGTTCAGCGGATCCAAGTCCAGTCGCAAACGCCGTCTCAAGGACAACATCGCCGCTCTCAGCTCCAACACCGACCACATGGAATCTCCTAACATGCCTGCGCAGAAGAGACGGTCCAGCTTCACAGAGAGCGCTAGCTGCATGTCCATATCGGCCTCGTCTATACTGGACTGTAGTCAGACGCCCGACAGCTCAATGGCACTTGCTCGTAATTCAGTTTGGATTGTGTTTTCCATTTTTTTTTTTAATTGAATGACATTCATCAACTAGTAGATATACTAGATATGATACATATTTTAAAAAAGGAAATATTTCAGAACTACACTGGCCATAACAGGTTTGTTTTGTTCATAGCAATATACAAATATACAAAAAGTAATTGTCATATAAACCATATCAACTAGCATTTGCTAAATGTATTTGACGTAAAAAGTAATGGATTAAGGCCACTTGTAAACTTGGGGTAGGGATTCGTCTTTTTAGCCATCAAACGGTCATAAAAATAAAATAAAAAATAATTTTGTTTCAAATTTTGGTCAGAAATATATGTATACAAATTATGTGTTTTTATCATACCGGTATGTGCTGATTTTGATTGATTAGATCATATTTTTAAAGTGATATTCATGCTCACATTCTAATAACACTTTGTTGAGCTGAAATGTTCACAATGTATTATTACCTAATCATCAATCATATGAGATTTGAAGTGAATCAACTTTTTATTTACAGCTGAGCCATGCACTCCTATGGAGATGGAAACCCCCAAGAAGCCTGCCGTACCTGCGCAACCCCTATCAAAGAGGCATATGACTGCCATGGAGTTACTACAGACGGAGATCAACTATGTCAAGATATTAGGCACCATCATCAATGTGAGCTGAATCATATATAACTTCATACATAACTTCATATGTAACTTCATACATAACTTCATATGTAACTTCATACATAACTTCAAACATAACTTCATAGATAACTTCATACATAACTTCATACATAACTCTATTGTCAAAGCAGACCATGTTTATTCAAAGGCTACTTGTTACAGAGATTTTGTCAGTTAATTGAGAGTATAGTCATGAAATTTGATTTGATTTTCATAAAGAATGCTTATAAAAAATTACTGAAAAGTGTGGAATCATTAATTTATGGACTCTTCCTTGAAAGCAAAAGTCTTGTAAATGAAGCAAGCGGTTTTACAATAATAATAATAATAATAATAATAGATTTATATAGCGCAGCTTTTATACAAAATATATTCAGCTGCGCTGGTTAAGAGCTCCTTTTTACTAAATTCTACAAAATAAGATCACTCAGTTGAACAAATAAGTTTTTAAATTGGATTTAAAAACATTGAGAGATGGAGTGCTTCTTATTTCTATTGGCAAGCTATTCCATAATTTGGGGGCGGCAATAGCAAAAGCACGGTCCCCAAGAGTTACTTTAGTTTTGCCATGGGGAATCTGAAGCAGTAATTTATCTGTGGAACTGCGCAGGCTACGACTGTGTGATTGGACTTTGAGTTGAAGTAATTCTTTGATGTAATTAGGGGCTTGACCGCTCAATGATTTATAGACGATTAACAATATTTTGAATGAGATTCTTTGACGGACTGGCAACCAGTGGAGTTCTCTCAGAAGAGGTGCGGTTGAAGTGAATTTCGACCGACGATAGACAAGTCTTGCACATGCATTTTGTACTCTTTGTAACTTAGCTATCAGAGAATCAGGCATTCCAAACAGCAACCCGTTACAATAATCAAGCTTACTTGTGATAAGAGCGTGTACAACCAATTTCATACTTTCTTGATCAAAATATTTGCGGATACGTCTGAGATTGTACAGAAGATAGTATGTTGATTTGCATATATTTTTAACATGTGTTTCCATGGTTAAATTAGTATCAAAGTATACTCCTAAATTCCTTGCTGTAACCGAGGGTATCACATTGGAGGATCCAACTCTTACACCGTCAATGCTTATTTTTGAGATCTGTTGTGGAGTTCCTATAACCAAAAATTCACTCTTACTATCGTTTAGCTTAAGATTATTGTTAAGCATCCATCTATGAATAAAATTAACACATTTTTCCAACATTGAAACACTTGCATCTTGAGTACTAGTGGATGGTCTAAAGGATAAAAATAATTGTGTGTCGTCTGCATAACAGTGACAGGAGACTTCAGGAAAATTATCCTGAGTGCTCTTGATTAGATTACTCGTGTATAACATAAAAAGCAAAGGGCCGAGCCGAGAGCCCTGTGGCACACCAAAGGGCACCTGGAAAGAGTCAGAGACAATGCCATCAATTTTAACTTTTTGATGTCGATCAGACAAGTATGACTCGATCCAGCCGAGAGCAACACCGTCGATACCGCAGCATATCTTCAAAATATCTAGTAATCTGGAATGCTCAATAGTGTCAAAGGCACTACTCAAGTCAAGTAATAACAGGAGAGTGATTTTCTGTCTGTCCATTGCAATCAGAATATCACTCTTGATCCTGAGTAGTGCCGTTTCTGTACTATGAAACTGTCTATATGCAGACTGATTGGATGGAAGGAGTGAATTACTGTTAAGAAACTGTAAAATCTGTTGTGTGGCTGCACCTTCTACCAATTTAGAAATGTATTGTAGGTTACTTATGGGTCTAAGATTACCAAATTCAACATCAAGCCCTGGTTTTTTCAACAATGGTGAAACAAGTGAGACTTTCCATTCTTTAGGAAAGTGGCCCGTAGACAAGGAGACATTGATCATGGATGTAAACACAGGTAGTATAACATCAATATATTGCAAGAGAATCTTTGTTGGAATCGGATCAGCAGAACAAGACTTCTTGCTGAGCTTCATCACAAGTTTCCCTACTTCCTGTTCAGATAAAAGTTTAAACTTATCAAGCTTGATACCATCAGGTACTGGAATAAGACTTGATGAATCAGTATCAATTCTATCCATCGAACCTATGCTAGTTGACAGGAATGTAGCCTTTTCATGTTTCTTAGAGCAATTTGAGACACAAAATACAGTTCTAACAAAATATGCTTCAGCGACAGATTCTTAAAATACAGTTCCAAACAGTACCATAACTAACTTGAATCCTAAACTAAACACTATACCTTATTCTAAACCTAAAATAAAACCTTCTTGTTATCCTAACCCTAAACTTACTGTAAATGCTGTTAATATTCGCTTCATTAATATTTCGCGCTGAGCGACCCCCCAAAATATTTGCTGGTTCTTAAATTGGCGTTGCACGCAATTCAGCCCGTTTGAAACATGTATAAGAAGTCATTCTTATATTTTTTCAAGTTCTAACATTTGCGCTTGCCGATCTTAGTGCAAAATCCGCAAAAATTAATGTACCGAAAATATTTCTACTTTTACAGTATGTCTTTGACAAAATGAAACCTGGAGTTACTGGAGCAAACATTAGTTCACCTAAAATAAGGCTTGTATTTTTTCACATCTGTATAATTATAAGAAAATGTGGTTTGATTGAGATGTTCTCCATTTCTGTTACAGGTGTTTAAAGAACCTTTAGAAACCGAACAGACCGGTGGACCTATCTTAGCACAGGAGGAGATCAAGACCATCTTCAATCGTATCCCAGACATCTACGCTGTTCACTGCAGACTGAGGAACGATGTCCAGGCTCTTATCGATGACTACTCTGAAGAGAAGAGCATCGGCCAAGTCTTCCTCAAACATGTGAGTAGCGTAGGAATGACATGATGACATCATTTAAAGCCTGTCTGCACTACTTGTAGCTACTTGCACCCTCTATATAGCCAACAATGCCTTAAGTGGTGACCGTTGATCCCCCATGGTTCCCTTTTTCTTTTGTTAGTTGAGAGTTGATGTGATGAGATATCAGCTGCCAGTGACTAACAGGGAGGTCTAATCCCTCCTGACCAAACTAGTGCAGACAGGCTTTAGGCCTCTCAGGGTTTGCAATTAGACCATGACTTTACTTCACCTTTGTATTTTGAGGATGCTAACTGGATAGTTTTCATGCCAAATTTATCTGTACTTTTCTTTATAACCAATATATTTTGCATCTGAATCTGACTGTTTTGACTTGTTTTTTATCTGAATGCAACCATTATCTGGTTTGATAAAATTTAAGTATTGTACATCTCCTGCACTACCAAGTTTTCATTTCTACAGTAAAACTACCCGGTATCCTTTGCAATCTCTCTCTTGTGTTGATTTCATGCCTCTTTGGAGACACTATGGCTTAGTGGTAGAGCAGGTCCGTGCGCTAGTACTCTTAGGTAAAGCATAGATCCTCATTACCTAGTCCCTCGTAGAGAACTTAAAGCCGTTGGTCCCCTGGCTGCTTATTTACAAGCATACACAATTACACATGCTTCCTTAGCAGTCTGGTAAAACAAGCCATCAGACCAAACCTCTGCCACTGTGGTGTCTGATATGATTGCACTTACCTGTAGAAGCACCAGGAGCATGACGTGATGGAAAATGTACGCTATATAAGAAGCAACCATTACAAGGAATTATTTGTATTATTTATTATTACCTCTTACTCACAGTATATATAAATGCAAAGTTATTCAACCTTGGTGTAGTTCCTTTAAAAAGATAACAGATGTCTACTCAATTCATTTCATTCTGATGGCCACGTCATTTTAACCTGTTTTACTTTCCCCCTCTATACATTGTGTGCGGGTAAGCCTGAATCTGATCGCGGGGCCCTCAGGGAGAACAGTATGAATACTGATGAGGCTACCCTGGGTAAACAAGACACATTGTTATTATTATTATTATTATTATATATCTCACTCTCTTGTATCTCTCACAGTCTGCCGATATGGGTAAGGCGTACCCATCCTTTGTCAACTTCTTTGAGTTAGCCAAGCAGACGGTCGTTCAGTGTGACAAACAGAAGCCTAGGTTTCATGCTTTCCTCAAGGTAGGTCCAGGAGTGTTGGTGGTAATGGTGATGATGATGATAGTGATGATGAGGGTGATGATGATGATGATGATGATGATAGTGGTGATGATGGTGATGATCGTGGTGATGATGATGATGATGATGGTGATGATGATAGTGATGCTAGTGATGATAATGATGGTGATGGTGATGATGATGATAGTGATGATGATGATGATGATGGTGATGATGATGATGATGTTGATTATGATGGTGGTGTGATGATGATGATGGTGGTAATGATGATGATGAAAGTGGTGGTGAAGATGGTGGCGATGTTGATGGTAGTGATGTTGATGATGATGATGATGATGATGGTAAGGATGATGAGGGTTATGATGATGGTAATGATGAGGATAGTGATGATGTTGATAACTTCTTTGAGCTAGCCAAGCAAACAATACATTTCTTTAAGTTCATAGTTCTCTGGCTTTTCCTCTGGACTGCTTCTCCTCTTAGCAATGATTCCACAAGATCATTGAATCCATTTTTGTAATGATCCACATCTAGAAGTACAGCCTAGTTATAAGTGCACATTTGCTTTTCAGAGAAATATTCATTTGATAACAGCTTCCTTTTTCTACGTGTTTCACCAGATTGGTCAGAGTAAACCCGAGTGTGGTCGCCAGTCCCTGACCGAGCTGTTAATCCGTCCAGTCCAGAGGCTTCCTAGTATGATCCTTCTGCTCTCTGATCTATCCAAGAGAACGACAGAATCACATCCTGACTTCAGGTATCTCAAAGAGGGACTGGAGGCACTCAAGAAGGTCACAGAGTAAGTCTTTGATTGTGTAGATTGTATTACTCTGTAACAAATAAAGCTTTGTTCAGATATAACGCTGCAGAAGCACGGTGATTTTTGTTGTGATGAGTGAAATGCAATACACTTCACATTTTTAGTGAATATGCGTAGGACCCTTTTCATAGTCAAATCTTCATTTTCTTAATTTTCTGAGAGTCATTATTTGCCTTCACTCTTCATAAAGTATTACAATTTGGAACAGTGCATTTCCCCCACTACATCACTAATCCTGAAATGCCTATTCTCTCCTTGTTAGCTTGTCTTTAGTGGAATCAGAAAAGCAAATTGATAATAATTTGAAGAAAAAAGAGACAACATCCTAAATTGTACCCAAATTAGGAATGATTCAAGTTCATGAAGCAAGAAGCTTGTATTTATGATATCTTTAGTGAAGACACAAGTGAAAGATTACTATTGAATGAAAGAGCTAATTCGAAAATTTTATTTTGAAAAAGGAAGTGCTTATTCACAAACCTGTACAAAACACAGGCCAGATAAAAACCAGATTTTTTTTTTAGTGCTCATTATCACCCCTAAAAACATGATCTCTCCTCTTACAGGCAAATCAACGAGGACAAACGGAAGACGGAGGGCCACACCCAAATGTTTGACATCATGAATGAGATAGAGGGCGTCCCAGCCCACCTGCTGTCGGCGCATCGTCACTTCATCACCAAGATCGATGTCTCGGAGGTCGGGAAGGCAGACTCGTTTGGTGAGAAGGGAATCTGTATCACCATGTTCCTCTTCTCAGATACCCTAGAGGTGAGTTACGTATGGTCTACAGGTCAGTCTCCTGGGGGGTGCTTCACAAAGATCCTAAGTCGAACTTAACTCCAAGTTGGACTTAAAAATTATGGGGAGTCATTTGTAGCCTTGAAATAAAATATATTCAAAAGCAAAAAATCAAGTATTTTAGAATTTTTTATAAATTCAACATCAAGAACATGAAATCTCCTTGATAATAGAAAATACAAATGATTTGAATCAACATTTTATGCCTTTTGAAATAATTTGTGCAAAATATTTTCATAGATGCTAACAGCTTCCCATAATTGTTAAGTCCAACTTAGAGATAAGTTCAACTTAAGATCTTTTTGAAACACCCCCCAGTTGTAAATGGAAAATCATGCCATGTACAAGTAATTGCTATTGTGTATTGCTATTCTTGTTATCAAGTTATCATGTATATACCCGAGCACTTGCACTTGCTTGAAGACAAGACCAGAGTATGGTATACCGTCAGTGTCCAGTTGTAAATGGAAAACCATGCTACGTACAAATAAATGCTATTGTGTATTGCTATTCTTGTTTAATATCAAGTATCATGTATTTACCTGAGCTGTTGCACTTGCTTGACAACAAGATCAGAATATCTTGTGATCCAGCATTTTGATCTAGGAATATGAAAATATACCTAATTTCCCTGTATGTCCTACAAGTAGTTGAGATGCAGACAATGGAGAAAAAATATGTTGCATTCTACAAAATTTGATATGATCTACAACAAGAGATAAGATGAATGAGTGATGTTCAGTAAACCATCAATTTCATCACCAAGATTGTAAAACACTGTTTCTTCTTGATTGTTCATACAAATCATTACCGGTAAAGATAAACTTGAGTTCTGGTAAAAAAAAGAAAACAAATTCTCACAGAATCAAACAAAACTTATACTGAATGTTCAAGAGTACAAATAAATGTCATTTGCCAAACAATTTTGGTAGAAAATGTATACTGACTGAGTAATGAGCATAGAAAGATAAGGAAATCAAGGTTAGTAGCCCTGACACAATTTGTGTAGTCCCATATACATCTTTCTGTGTACAGTGTTTGTTACTTTTCCAAGACTGGGCCAAATTTATTATGATTTTAATGACTCCAGAACTTTGCAGTACACACCAATACTTACATGCTACATGATCAACTTTTTCTGATCTATTCCACACCGTTTCTTTCACGATGCAATCGGATGACCAGAACTTGACTTTATCTTTAATCCGATTTGTATTTGGAATGACCCATTGACGGTGTTGTGTTCTTTGCTCTTTCAGATCTGTAAGAAGCGTGTAAAGCACAGTAACATGAAGACATCCCAGAAGACCTTCAAGCACATAGAGCTTCTCAACCTCTCCTACATCAGAAGAGTTCTGGATATCCATGAGACGGACGGTAAGGGTTGCCATCCAGGGCCCTGTTTCACAAAACTTGTCATCAGTGACAAATGACAGTTGTTGTTATAAGCTACTGAAATGCTTGCTTCTGATTAGTTATCAGCAGATTTGTCACTGATTTGTGTCATTTGTCATTGAAAAAAGGCTTTGTGAAACAGTTCCCTGGAGATGGGTGTAGCCTGAGACTTTGACTTATGAGTATAGGTTTCATGAGACTCTTTTACTTGTGCATTTCTCCTATCCCCATTGGTAGGGTTTTGAACATCCATGAAAGAGATGTTAAAGAAATACTACCCGGAACCACAAAACAAAGTTGTAATTGGTAATGTTCGTTATGGATATCATATGATGAGAGACAAGGTATACTAAGGATTTCATTACTACATTAGTAGACTGTTTTTATGTTGCACCTATCCAGTTACAAATGCCTGATCGAAGCATTTTACAGTTCATTTTCACATAGTCATTTGATTCCATGATGATTCTTTCGCTTTTAGCATCATAATTTTGATATGCCTTGCTCTCAGACTCTTGCAGAGTGTCACAAATGTTTTGCCCCAGCTGCTTCTGAAACCTCTCATGAAGAGGGCCTAGTATTTGATGATGAGAGCCATAAAACAGAATGGCTACCCTTTGCCCAGACCTTTTTTTAAATTTTGCTCATTGAAAACTGAAATACCAACTCCTCTTCTTCATGTATGTATCTAGTCATTGATTTGATTTTCTATTCTTTCAGAGTGTCACAATGCCTTTGCCCTGCTGTGTAAGCCTCCTATGGATGTACTTGAGAGGACTGATCGTCTCTATATGTTTGCAGTGTCTGGTGACGAGAACTGTAAGACAGAATGGCTCAAGATCCTATGCCAATACATGGCCAACGCAACATGTAAAACAGATGCTGTAAGTCTAGTTGGAGCAGTGGTCCTGTTTCCCAATTTAAACAAACATATGGATATTAAAGGCACACTGTCCTACTTGTAGCTACTTGCTCCCTCTATATAGAAAACTTCCCCAATCAGTGCCTGTTGGTCCCCCGTGATCCCCTTTTTGTTATGTTAAATGAGAGCTGAGTTAATGAGATAGCCACCTGTCACAGTGACCTTGCTGGCTCGCTGGGTGGTCTAATCCCTTCTAGCTGAAGTAGTAAAGCCAGCCTTTAAGAATGCATACATTCAAAACAAAGCTACCGTATGTTCAAGGAATTTCTTCATACTTCAATTAATTTGAGTCTTGAAAGATCTCTATTCATCATACCATCTGCAGTATTAAAGATTGAATATTGATTTGTCTGAAATTGTAATTTTATGTAGAACCAGGTGAAAATTAATCACAGAAAATGTTATAGTGAGGCATGTTACTATGTCTTTTGAATAACATACAGAGAACTTGTCGTCTGACTAATATTTGCTCGACAGAAATGTTTTCACATAAATCCAAGCACTTGTGATGAAAGATTGTAATAATTATAATATATATGTTCTATTCTATCCTACTGAGAATTATTAAATCCATCCAGAGAGGATGTGTATATAATTCAAGACAACAATACATATATTCATGTTCAATGATTCTTTATAAAAACCAACTTCAAATGAATTCAGACCTTGTGATATTTATACCTCTTTTTGTTTTCATTGTTTGCAGGAGAATTTCTTGTGCAAGATTTCTCCAGAGGATCTAGAGCTTTCTAAGAGTGACTTTGATGTGAGCAGAAAGAACAAGGCAGTCAGGTACGGTATACAAAGCTGACCTTTGACCTCTCAGTTGAACTATGACCTCACATGTATGTGACATTGACTGCGATCAAAAACTGTTCATTGGTGATGTGAATTTAAGCATAAACATATGAATAATGATAGCGTGATGTATACACAAAACATGTTTAGATAATTTCTTCACCTACCAACTGAATGATTTCCATAAAAAAATCATTCACCCATTTGTGTGGTTGTCACTCTGATTTTTCTAACTTTTAGTAAATTAGATCACGGTATATTCCTTTTGAGAAACAAAATGTCGATTTTCAAACACAGATTTGCATTATTGTACTAAACACATGTTTTGTATTTCAGTCACATGTGAACTGATATCATTTTCTTTGTATTTTTGCCCAAATGTGAATACAGATATCAAAATCATGTGGTAGATATCGTCATGCATTTGTATAAATCAATACTGTTTTGTGAGAATTTTTAAAATGTATTCTATGTTGTACCAGAACACTGGACTACATGTTGCTTGAACTAAAACTGAATCACACTGCTGGCATATAGATACATAGTAGTTTTAGTACATATATATTCTGATACTGGCTATTCATGTATCATATATTCTGTTTCTGGTCATTCCAACAGGGCGGCAAAGAGGGCGACCAAGAAGGTATCCAGGACGTTCTCCTTCAACCGGACGCCACGGCGGGGGTCAATCCAGAAGGCGGTCAACAACGTGACGTCCACCTTCAGTCCCATGGTGTCCGGTGAGGGGATGAGCCCTCAGCAGTTTGGCAAGATGGGGGCGAGGCTAGCAGGGACCATGACACTCAAGGTAAACAACGAGCTAAGACTTTTCTGAGCTAGGGCAGTCCTACAGGGCAAGAATATGCATATAATTACTTTTAAAGCCCATCTTTACTAGTTTGCAGGAGGGATTAGACCACCCTTCAAGGTCACTGACAGGTGGTTATCTCATCAAATCAGCTCTCACTTAACATAATAAGAAAAAGAGGATCATGGGGGACCAATGGTCACCGATTAGGCATTGATTGCTATATAGAGGGCGGAATTAGCCATAAGTAGTGCAGTGGGGCTTAAATATTTCTGAGGGCAGTCCTACAGGCTGGGGAAGAATATGCACACAATTACTTTTCAGGAGGCAAAGTTATAAAACTGAAACTAAATCAACATCTTGTTTCCAAGACCACGAATAGTGATGAGTTGGACAAAGCTCTGCCTCAAATTTTCAGAATATCCACCCCTCCCCCATCCCTCGTGGTTGAGGTGTGTATAACAAACAAAGTAAGCTTTTTCATCTGCTATTCTTTTCCAATGAGGTATGCGTTTGATATAATGTGTGGCTGTAATGCCAGCCACATGTTTGTTCATTTATATCTTCTATCCTCTCTCACTGTTGATTGGATATTTTGGATTGATTGTTGGAATTATGTGACAAAGTTAACTGATAAGTTCAGTATGTGAAAGACTTCTTTGTGGAAAATTGGTCACAATAGATTTTACCCTCTGGTAAAGCTAATCCTGACCTGGCATTCTATTACATCTCTCTCTCTCTCTCTCTTATCTTTTTTGACAGGCTCTTTCTCCCCTGGCAAGAAGAACACCTCTCACGCCTCGTCACTTACAGAAGAGTCTAACCATGGGACCATCAGCCAGCAAAAAGCTTTGAAACTCATCACAATCAGGGTCCTACCTACCCTCAAGCGTGTCATTAATCATTGTCAACATTAAAAAAACATTACTTGGCACTATTTCTTATAGAAGTAAACTGTTTATGCCGAGTTAAAAAAAAAATATGCCTCTCTGTATTCTTGTATTTGCATTGCACAAGTGCTAGCTTAGCCATTGCGTTGGCTTGAAAATGCTATGACCGTATAAAGGTAAAATGTACATCACATCATTGGATTTTGCAGTTGCCAAACATTGTGGAAAACTATTAGAATTTATTCTACCTTCAAGAACCAATATGAATCTTCCTTTCAAGAACTGACTGCAGGAACTTGCATTCTGATTGGTTGTTTGAAGACTTGCAATCAATTGGTTTGTATAATGTCATCGGAGAGTTAGACTGATGGACCTCCAAAACTCTTTATATTTGAATACAGATGTGTCTGCGAGGTTCAGCCTCCAGTAATTTAAACGAGTATTTTTAAGAGTCTGACATGCAGATGATCATGGTCCTGTTTGGCAAAATGTATTCAGAGTTGAACAAAATGATTTTCAAATGATATTATTTCTTCTCTCGTGTGTATTCAGGGATGTAAAGCTAACATAAAGCTATATTATATCCAGGCTCTGCATGAACCCTATTTGGCTTGTGGTTTGAAACAAAATATTTAAGGTACTTGTCATTAGACTCCTGTTAACATTTTAACATATTTAGGATCCAGAGTTATATCACATATAAAACTGTTGGTTTGATAGATTACTGTTTATTTTATCATATTTTTAATGACTTGTACTTACCTTTTGCTATATCCTATTGCTTAATATACAACTCACTCCTAAATCCTAATCAAATGACTTTAAACGCGGTCATTTTTGATTATTTACAGAGACTATCCCACATTCTTTTTAAAAGAAAAAGCATGCAATAGTTTCCAGTGCTATCTAATTATTTTTAAGTACAGGATGTGCAGAACTGCACGTAAATGGGAAAAGAGTCAACTGCCCTTATCACTGTGTGCGCGCTAAAGTATTAAAAGCCTATTAATCTTTGGGTTTATTTGTCAGCGATAATTGCACAACATTTTTTTTAATTGAATTCTTTTTGCATCAAGTAACAAGGATATACCGTAGGAGTTTTGTTAGATAAAACAAATGATGCATGTTTTCTTTCATTCAATACAGGATCTATAAGCTCTTTTTGAGGCTGTTTATGCACCATCGTACTCAGCCAAGTACAATAGGTATCATTTGTATACTATTTGTAATTAGTAGACTATTACATTGCAAAGAGGCGAAAAACTAAATAGAAAACTTAGTAACCGCTGTAGTGAAGGGATTCAGAACACCAAAATCTGTAGTTAGTCTTATAGATAAAACATACATGTAGTTAGATGCATTCATGCTTTTAACATTGTAGTAGCTACTAGCTAATAATCTTCTTTTTCATAATGCTGTGTAATTTATTTGTTTTTTGATGGTCAAAGCAAGGCTTGTAGTTGTTGCCATTATCAACATGGCACAACTATTTCCAATGTCGCATTGTATGTTCGGAAATGGGCACATTCTAATTATGGCAAATATGTAGATAAGTAGTTAAAACAGACATGTAATTATAAAATATTTATATTTCTAGTGTCCATCTCTTGTTGCTGTATTCATATCTTGTGCCTTGCTTTTCAGTTTGTCTGTTTGTTCTCCTCTCTGTGCATAGGCTCTCTCCGGCGTGAAAACTCATGTACATTTCATTTGTAATATATTTCATTGCTTGCACTTTGTAGATATAATAATATATTAATCGTTATTGCAGTATGGATGGAGTGGTCAATCCGTGATGAAATTGATGTATGAAAATGTTGACGGCCATCTTGGTTTGGACAAAGCTTTTTAAAAAAATACTGAGATTATCTTCTTTGCTCTTTTATACAGTACTACCCTTTCAATGCTATCTCTCTCTCTCTCTCTCTCTCTCTCCCTCTCTTCTCTATCTCTGTCGCTAACCAAATTTTGCTTTAAAACTGTTAAGAAATTACAAATCCCATTGTAGAAAGTTGAAGTATTTTTTGGTTGCTAAGGTAAATATACATATTCATCTCTCAGTATGACATTAATGTCTTAATATATTAATGTGGTAATCTAAAAATACATATTTTGCCAGGTCCGGGTAATAGTGATAGTGAAAATAGTGATAAGAGTGGCTATTTTATGATAGCAAACTTGTGGTATATTAATCAAATTTTCTTTAACCAGCGCTTTGCAAAAACTTCCACAATTTGATTTTATGCACAAGAGTATCTATGAATCAATGTACTACTGGTAATCAAGAAAATAACATTTATCAGCATTAAATTCTCATCCTGTATTAAAGGGGCTGTAGCATGACGAGACTCTGTGTCTTTCCTGTGGCCCGACTCACGTGCAGTTGTCCAAAAGAAGTCGTAGATGTCATTAACCAGTATTTGCCATGCTACAGCCCCTTTAATTAATATGTGACCTACAATGTACAGATATGCATCAATAGAGATATCAGTTTCTATGAATACAATATGAAATACTTGTAATACACTGCATATGTTATTTTTGATAATTAAAGGGTACCAAATTTAATTACACGTTTCATGTATGATTAGCTTTTTTAATTCCTATAAATAATAAAGAAAGTGTCATTTGTTATGTATGATGGCTACAGTTTTTAGTGGCAAAAGAAAATTGCTGTCAGAAATTGAAAAGGGGCCTAATAATGTAATTATTGTCTTTTTGTACTTAAAACAAGTATTTAGCTGAAAAGGTAAATTTGCTAATTTTTCACATTTTGAACCTCTTATTCTAAAAACCATCGAGCTCATCAAGTTCTTTATCATCATCTTCGTTTTATATTTCTGTGAAATTCATTTAAATCATCAATTACAAAACCATTGAACAATATTGTACTGAAATACATAACTGACTTCTTTATCTTTTCCTATAAATTGGTTGGAAGGAGGTAGTCTCTTTGTCTAGTTTTAAAGAATATGTAGATGTAAAATATGTCTTGTATTTCTGTCAGTAATATCTGCATTGATATGTAATAAAAATATGTAACTGTAATAATGTCATTCTACAAATCTGCCTTTTCATTATAAGCAACTGTGTCGTTGTTACTAGTTAGCATAGATGGTAATTAAAGCTTAAAGAAGTTATTATGATTTATACGATTCAAAAGCCAGGAAGATATTTGATAATTATGTGATTTTTGTTTGTACTGTGAAACCTGCTATTAAAGGGAGACAAGCAAAAGGATCTGTATGCGCAGATGGTTTTGCTTTATGTACAGGTTCTACTAATAAACATTTTAATGAGAAACAATTTTCAAGGAAAACAATTTTCAAGGGAAACAAAAATGTCTTTATAGAGGGGTGGTCGCTTAAGCAGGTTTGACTGTAGTGCATCCCATTATTCAATCATTCTTTCTCCTATCTCTTCCCTCTATCTTTTCTCTCTCTCTCGTTCTTACAATCTTTTCTCCGTTTCTTTCTCTCCCTCTATTACATCTTTCTCCCTATTCTCTCACTCTCTCTCTTGATCCCACCCCCCCCCCCCTCTCTCTCTCTCTCTCACTCGATCTTTTCTTTATCTCTCTCACTCGATCTGTGTATCCCCTCCATCCCTCTCTCTCTCTCTCAGTCTTTTCTTTATCTCTCTCACTCGATCTGTGTATCCCCTCCATCCCTCTCTCTCTCTCTTTTTTCTTCCTCTCTCGTTTTCTCTTTCTCCCCTATTCTCTCAACTCTCTCTTGCCCCCCTACCACTCTCTCTCTCTCTCTCTCTCTCTCTCTCTCTCTATCTTATCTTTCTCTCTCCCTCTCTCCACCCATACTCTATCTCTCATCCTTCCTCTGCACTCCCCTTTACCATCTTCCATACTATTTTCGGCCTTTCTTGTTATTCATCCTCACTTTCCTTCCAATCTTTAACAAAAAGTTATGATTTTACACAAATTAGCCACTGATCAAATAACAAGTTAGGCAATTGCACTTTTTTCATTTCCTTTTTTCCTTTTTCCTTTATTAAAAGGACCATTTGTACAATGTTTACAATGTAGCAGGTACATAAAATAGGATCAAGTTCTATTATTCTTTTACATTAAAAACACATGGACAACATTATATAAAACTGCAGTTTTTGATATGTTAACCTTTTTTATTGCACCGTACTACACCAGATAATGACAATACATTTTGACACGAAGGATATAAATGATTGTTATAATGCGACATCACAATTTGTGAATGCTTCATGCCGACAATTATTCAAATTAAATCCACAAAACGAGGCAATTTTTTTAAAAATTTCCTGCTATGAGAGTGCCTGTCATTTTACTCTATGAAATGTCTGGTTTTACCATTACTTCACCAGCGTAAATTAAGTAACAAAAGTTTAACTATGAGTGAGCCCACAGCTGCATGACGTACACACACAAACACTTGCATGCAGCAATAAAATACACACTGAACAAGGCAACAGATTTTGTTTTTAGGCCAACAGAAAAATAGGAAGCGGTATATATTATGCACAGTGGAAGTGTATCATTTATAAGAATAAAACAAATTTCAGCTTTTCACAAATGTTATTTGTGATTATCACACACTTTTAATAATGAAGTTACCATGCTAATCAACATGACTTACAAAGGGTTAGGTTTTTTTGGTTTAGTGTATAAGTCTCCCGACTGTGAACCACATGGGTTTGAATCCCTGCCACAACACTAACGTCCTTTAACAAGACGTTAATCTACATTTGCCACACTCCACCCAGGTGAGGTAAATGGGTACCTGGTAGGATTATTCCTTAAAATGCAAAACGAAACGATACAAACATACAAAAACAAACAAAAAATAACAACAACAAAACCCAGAGTGTAAGCTTAGAATACAGTATTTATATGTTCTTCATTTCTATTGGTCGAATGGCAATTTGTCAGTCATTTCCATCCAATCATAGACCTTGTTTTCTGCAGAGCTCTTGCCATCGATGGCGGATGACATCACTCCACTGAACAGATCAAACCATCCTCCTGATCAAACAAAGTAACCATGGTAACATCAATTAAACAGGAAGCTACTGGGATACATTTCTTTTAGAGTTAAAGGCCCCATGTCACCAAGGAGGTCTAATAATTATAATAATAATCTGGATTTGTACAGCGCTTAATACGAAATACTGTCTCTAATCGCTTTACAGATATTATCAATACCCCGGTCATCGGATTCATTCATGCACAATGTGCACCATCTCCACTCCCCGGGGAGTATTCCTACCAAATGGTCACCATGAGAGTATATGGCAATTACAAACATGCTTTCGTCATCCTACCAGGTCCCCATTTCTCTACTGGTTATGGAATGGCAAATGTAGATTAATGCCTCGCCTAAAGAAATAAGGGCCATGTCGGTGATTGAATCCATGACCTTTGCATTTCAAGTCAAGTGCTTAAAAATAAACCACTCGACTACAACACCATCGTCGCCACCATGGACTAAAATATGATTATATACAAATGTAAGTGTATAATCACAAGTGTCTTATATTGGCCATTGTACATCAGGACACATGCGTACTATGCTTATGGAGGTTGAAACCATGGATGGAGATAAAACTCCTTTGTGCATTTGGGCCAAAAAAGTTTAACATGAATAAGGTTTGTTTTATAATAAAGGAGGTACTAATTCCAATTGTAAAGAAAAGTACTTATGGATTGACATGGATGGAAATTACGAGATTCGGTAGAAAATTACCTGTTTTGTGCTCACAATGATCCCTAGCATTAAATTTAGTGAGAGCTGCTATTCAATTGATAACCATATGATGAAGCCATCTTGTAAGTGTATGGTAATAACAAATACAAATTAAAACTAGGTAACTATCCCACTCTAAGTTTACTGTAATCACTCTTGTTGTTTTTGTTTGTTTCTTTTTGTTCTCCTTTTAATCCTGAAATACCAACCTGAAGAAATACCTAACCTTCCAACACAACAAACAAACTTACTTGAACCCATTGGCCCGAATTCACAAAGGAGGTGGTTTGTAAAAACACGTTAAGCACTTACCTGTATGAATAAAGAGTATCTTCTTTCCTAGGAACCTATCAGGGTTTTCTCTCATGAGTTTCATTGTATGGTATGTGGCCTTCCCTGTGTAGCATGGATCTACCAGGATACCTGTTGTCGTGGCAACCTCTTGAATACATTCTAAAGATACGAAGAAAGATGTTAGTCAGTACAAAAGATAATGTTTGTTTATGTTTCTATGTTAATAACGGTACAATGACATAAGCTCTGGAAACTATATATGATTCTCAGAGGGTCCTACTGAAAAAGACCCGAGATATTTGAGATAATTCAAGATTCATCTTGTCTATGTCATGATACAGAATTAGCCTGCTAATGTAGTCACAGCCCAAATAGCAGCATATGTTGAAGGTTCGATTTTCCTCCAGAGTTGAAGAGTTTTTTTGTCTGAAGTGCTTTTCATTCATATGCAGACAATACACCCATTCCAAACACTGTGAGTTACAGCAAAAACACTTTCATCATTTTCTGTTGAGAGCCAGAAGGCTGTTAACTCACATCACTCAACACAAAGTCAGGGCCCTTTTGGTTCTCAACGGATGAAATAATCTCTTCTTGTTGACAGTAAACATGAAGAACAGCAAGCAAACTGTGAAACTAAATCAAGCAACTCACTAGAATTATAAAAACTACACCAATTCGTCAGTTGAGAGGCAAAAGGTAATAAGTCATGTTTAATGCATAGTCAATGCCCTATTGGCTCTCAACGGATGAAACAATCTCTGATAGTATACAAATATCGCCTCGGGTGTGTTAGACTATTCCAAAGGTACCTCGATTGTGTGGGTAATTTTACTAATGCCCGAACAAAATGGAGTGTAATATATGTGTTATAAGATTATGTTTTATTTGTTTTTATAAAATGATGTTTTATAACATGATTTTGACAATGACCGGTCATTATCCAAATTACGCATCAGGCAAAATAAATGCCTGGTCACATGTACGCTTTCAACCAATCATTTGATTAGGATCCACGTCATCGTAACAACAATAAATAATCACCTAATTCCTCTGGTGTGGACAGACCATAACCTATGCCCTTCACTCCCTCCACGATGTCCATGATGTCCTCAGCCTTGACCCCTGATGACCCATCACTGGCCTGCAAGCCTAGGTCTCTCAAGATTGCGTCCGCTTCCTCGTGAAAGTAAGCAGCGTCGGATATGACTGCCATGCCATGGACTCTGTAAGAACAAAGGTTTTTTTAATAAATATTAATGAATATACTGTATAAGTGGATATGTGAATGACCTTTGACCTTTGATCCCGAAGATCACGTATGTCAGCTTCCTTGTGAAAGTAGGCAGAGTCAGCTATGACTGCCATGCCTTGGATTCCATTAGAATTAAGACACTTTGAAAGAACAAATGTGGATATGTGAATGACATTTGACCTTTGATGTTATTAACCCAACGTCTCTAAGGTCGCATCTGCATCCTCATGAAAGTTAATGTAAGAAGCATTGACTGTTGAAACATATTTCACAGGAATAATGACCCGATTTCACAAAGAAAATTTAATTAAAAACTCATCAACAGATATGTCAGTACCGACTCAGTTGATGCAAATATTTATTCAAATTGAAAATAATAACATTCAGGAAATGCTGTTTAAAAATGCTTTAATACTTACTTGACTTTGTTTCCTGTCAGATGGTTCCCTATGGCAAGACCAGTTACAGATCCTGTGCTTCCCGATGCTACGACAATGTCTGTGAATCTCTCATGTAAACCCTGTATAGTATACAAATACACGACACATTTTGAGGGTCTGGCAAAAACTAGGAGCTAATGAAGAGGCATTAATCGTAACTTTCCCTAGGGAAAATTTATATCAAATTTACCTTGAGGTAAAGTTATTATTTATGCCTCTGAATGCTCATAGTTTGCTAGAGCCAAGAAAGACATAAACAGAAACAGGTTAGTGTCACACTCTTCTTCAGTGGCCAGATGTGACAGATGTTTAAAATTAAATTTGTTACATTTAGGGCAAGATAGTACCTATCCTGTACTTTTTGTACTTTATAGCCCTTCGCCTACTGGTACCGGGTGGTCCAAGTATTAAGCCTATAGGAATTAGAGAACTCAGTAGTTAACAGGTTAAAAGATCAAAAGGCAGCTAAAATAGATAAGTATCATACATATTGCAAAACCTGATACTTATTAGCTTTAATAGGGGTAATTTTTTAATATTTTTTATCTTTTGAATAGTAAACTAGTAAATTTACCTTGCATACACTTGTTGCTAGCAAACTTATGGGATTTATTTGTGTTGTTAAAGGAAATTCAATAAGCATACATAAAACAATCAATGAAAGTAATAGAAATCTGGAGCAAATGTCAGACAACCAAGACTACAAGACTTCACCTTTTTAATGAGTTAATTGAAGCAGTATTTATAATACTACCATACACCTACAATAGTTGTGAGTACAGAAAATGAAATTCCGCTCATGTTTCTTTATGCTGCCCTATGAAATGACATGGTAAAAGACTGAAGAGCTAGATAATCACCTGTTTGATGAGTTCATTGAAGCAGTCTATATACCCCCACACACCAACAGAGTTGGAGCCACCCAGAGGTATTGAATAACACTTCTTCCCTGATGTCTTCCTAAAATTGAACAAAAGAGGATAATTAAATGAATAAATTGTATTTATTCATACACTTGGGCAGTGGTTTAGCAACAAGCGGACACAAAAGAGGATAATTATATGAATAAATTGTATTTATTCATACACTTGGGCAGTGGTTTAGCAACAAGCGGACACAAAAGAGGATAATTATATGAATAAATTGTATTTATTCATACACTTGGGCAGTGGTTTAGCAACAAGCGGACACATGCCCCCCCCCCCCCCCTTCAATCAAATGATGGAAAACGATGGAAAACCTAATACTAAAAAGAAGAAAAAGTGAAAAATAGGTAAAAGATGACAGAACAGGGGAAAGGTCAAGAAAAGAAAACAGTAGGATTCCTCCTCCACCATTCGCAGCCCACCCCTCTTATAAATTCTCATTCAATATTCCAAATATGATCAGTGATTGCTCCCCCCCCCCCCCCCCCCCCTCCCCTCAAGAAAAGAAATGGTAGAATTCCCCCTCCCCCATTCCTACCCCATCCCCTTGTAAATTCTTATTTCATATTCCAAGTACAACCAGTGGTGCCCTCCCATGATTCATGATAGTTTCAGGGACTTGGTTGTTTCTGGTTCTAAGTTCAGTGACTTACATTATATGCTCTTGGAGCTGTTGCATTCTGGGATAGATCTCCTTCTGGAACGAGCACTCTGATGGTACAAGATAAAAGTTGGCTCCAACCATCCTGTCTAAAAGAGTGTTCCCAGTGAACTGGCCCTTAAGGTCCTAAAGAGAAAAAATAAATTAAAGTTACATCTGTTACATAGTGAACTTTACTCATTTTCTATTTCTATAGACTAGCCAAAATACATTCAATTTATGCATGCTCCTCTCTAGGGCCTTGCAATGTTTAATTGATTGTATATCAACTTGTTGTGGTTGATGCAGTGCTCAAAATACACGGGGGCGGTGGGCGATTCGCCCCCGTGAGCTACAAAATCGCCCCCGTCAGGTTGCTCACGGGGGCGATTGCAAAATTAAAAATCGCCCCGGTGGAATTATAAAATAAAGATAATCTTTTCTGTTATAACTTTAACACAATATTGGGTTTCAATTTTCAAACCTTAAACCAATGAAATGGAACTAAGATTAGCGTGCAAGATTTCTCGTTTTATGAGTAGGCCTATTATTACCGATTCAGCTCGCAGTGCAGTGCCGCCGTCAGCAGTGGTTATAGGCCTACTGCGCCGTTAGTAGCGGTGCGTTTGCACGCTGCCGCGCCATGTCTGCTGGAGCTGGAGGCGATCGGGCAAGGGCAGAAACATGGTCATGGCCTGGAGAAGTTTTTCGTTGTCAGCAAATAATGAACCTCGACCAGTAAATCAATATTAGGGACTTTTAGATTTGCACGATGAGAACGTGGACTGCAACGTGTGACCTCCTTTTAAGGCACTGCCAGTGCTTAAAAGGACGTCACATGTGATTGCCAGTGCCTTAAAAGGACGTAACACGTCGACGTCCACGCAAATCTAAAAGTCCCTTTTGAGGAGAAGAGGAAGACCAAAATGTCGTGGAATGACATGGTAACATGGGCAGATCTACGGCGGGGGAAGGGGGGGGGTAGGGGGTTTAACCCCCTCCTTCCACCCCCCCCCCCCCCCCCGGCCCCCTTGGGCTGCCAAGTGAAAATGTGATATTAAAGCGGGGGGGAGGGGATTCTGGAGAGGAGGACTACTAATCTATTTTATTTTTTTCAGGGGGCGGGGGGAAGTGAAGCGCCGTTTTAGCATGACTTTCTTTTTAACTCTTACTTTCACCTATCTCAGATAACCCTAAGTTTTTGGTTGCTGCTTTATATGTAGTTGATAATGCATGATTAAAATAAAGAGAGAGAGAGAGAGAGAGAAAACCACCATCATTTTGCAATGGTTCAGGGTTCGTGTAATGTACATTTGAAACCATTTCTTAGCGTCTCAACCCTAAAAAAAATAGCAAAACTATTTTTGAGGAAAAGCATTATACTGAATTAAATAAAGAATAATAGCTTTATATTGGATCATACTAATACTGATACGGGCTAAAGACAATGTGGTATTTGTATAGAGGTATTCCAAAATGACATTGTGATAATCAACATTTGTTCTGGTATCATATGTATAATCGCATAATACAACTGATCTTTATGATTTCTTAACGTGACATAGCTTCTTCTCCCTCTGCAAACAAAACAGAAAACAAGGTTATTTAATAAAAGGACCATGCGACAAATAATCATTGTGATTCAAATTGATGCAAGGATTTTTTTGAATAAGCAATGCTTTTCACCAGAATCTTCTTTGTAAAGACGACTTTTACAAATCTCAGCCATGCAATTCTGCCACTGTGCTATAAGATCACTTTGAGATTAGGAGAAGTGTATTATGTAATGGGTATTTTAAATTGAATGGAACGTCTCAAGTCAGTAAGCATGGCTGAGATTTGTAAAAGTTGTTTTTACAAAGAAGATTCGGGTGAATAGCAGTGCTTATTCAAACAAATATTCACATCAATTTGAATCACAATCATTATTTGTCGCTTAATCCCTTTTAATGGCCATGTTTTCTTTTTCGTTTGCAAGGGGAGAAGAAGATATGTCACGTTAAAGACATCATAAAGATCAGTGTTGTATGCGTATACACAGGCCAGTAACAGCTATGTAGCTTGTAAGTTTGTAAGAGGGAAAATGCTGATTGAAATGATAATGATGAAATAGCAAATAATTGAGGAGTATCATAGGTACCAATTCAATGGATATTTTTATAAAAAAGAGCCCCCGTCAGTAATAAAAGAGCCCCCATGAGAAGGCTCACGGGGGCTCTTTTTTCGGGGGAAGAGCCCCCGTGGACAAAAAATTAATTTGAGCCCTGGGTTGATGCTATGTTGGACAAGCTTATGCAAGTTTTTATATCACAAGGTGCACTCTATATAAGAAATTCATAGACATTGTTGAAAAATTAGATTAAACATTTTGACTGTATGGCTTCATTTTGTTCCATACGTCTCAAATTATACAACCAAAATATTCTCTCTATGACATTCAATGATTGTATTAAAGGATAAATATCAGGGAGAAACACCATTAAGGCAAATTCTCTAAAATTGAATGCTAGAAGGGTCATTCCATGAGGTTGGGACAAAAACATATGATGATGTCCATGTAACGGTTTTATGATATCTTCTACTACACATTAAAGATGAAATCATTGGTTGGAAGATTTATGTAGTGAATGTACCTGTATATGATACTGGTATATTACTGTCCTGAACCAATCCTGTTTCATTTGCTTCTCTTCAAAATATTTGCTTATTACGCATCTTTTCTTTTACCAGTGTAACATCGACATATATAACATTATATGAATTATTGGTCTATGTTATTGATTCACCATGAAGTTAGAGTACTTCTAAACATAATTGGCTCAATTTAACTCATTTCAAGCAAACATTGGTATGGTTGATAAAAAACATAGTTTCTCACTTTTAGTAATACACAAGAATTGCACCCGTGCCATGAAATGACCCTGGACGATCGAATGGGAGCTTCATAGCAGAAATCAAATGTCTGTCCATCAAATGTGTTTGGTACATCACGATACAAGCCATGGATTTACCTTAGTTCTGGACCACAGAAATAGATGGCATTCTAACCCAAGCTGACAAGACGAGATGGCCGTCGCTCGGCAGTGATTGGATCGGACTCCTCCACACGTCAAGATGACCTCACACCCTTTATCTACTGCATCAGCCAATAGGAACTCAAGCTTACGGATCTGTCAAAAGAGGTTAGAATTAATTGTTGCAAGTCATGTATGTTCTTGCTTGAACTACCCAAAGTCTCAAATATGAACCACTGATGGCTTGATCTTTGATATTTGGGTGTGGGGGGGGGGGGGGGAGTGGGGGAGGTGGTATAGCACAAATCCGAAAAAACAAACATTATTTAGGTTTACATATCTTTCAGGTGCTTCCTTACCCCACAAAAATCATTCCCCCCCCCCCCCCCCCCCCCTCCCCCACTCTATATTGAAGAGCACACAAATGCTACTCAAAGACAATGACCTCTGCATTATAATATCCCAAGTGCCATTTCAGGGATTGAACCCATAACCTTTAAATCTTCAGTTGAAGTGTTTAAACCACTTGACTCTCACACCTTGGTATCAAATAACACTGGCCTCCGCACAGGCTGTTCGAGAAATTATAAATATTGTACATATCAGGGTACTTTGTCCTGTTAAGTTACCGACAGACCATATCTAAGATGTTATAGTATACGTATTCTAAAACACCTGTATCACATTTACATGCAGTACGTGTGTGAGAAAATAGGACAAAGTACATCAATGTATGAAGTTAGCCCCTACTAGAGCTTGTATCAGAAAAAGAAGAAAAAAATGTAAATGTGAAGTAGATAATCAGTGTCAATTTTTGTTCATAACTCCTAAAAACTTGGTATTGAATGTATGGGACACAGGATCTATGACCAAACACCTTAAACTTGCTTATCAGTGCAATTTTCAACTGTTGTTCAAGAGGAGTGAGTGACCTTACCTTGTTGCCTGAGAGAACACTTCCTGTCATGTCATCCCTCTTGACAAAGACCTCAAAGTCATCAGGTGTCCTTGGAAGACGCCATTTGTGGATAGGGGTGTTCAGGTTAGCCAACTGGAAGGATAGTCATACAAGCAAATCAAGTATATTTAATGATTTCTGTTATATACTGTGACATCAATTATACATTTATTATTATAGGCTACAAAGAAGTTTGATTTCTCAGTGGGCAGTTATCATCTGTTTCAATAAAAAAACAGTTGGACATCTGCTTACAAATGTAATAGTATGGTTTCTGAAGACTTGGATTGTTAGAGCCACATCATTTTCATTGGTAAGAAACAGACCATAGTTTGCCATTTACACGTTATCTAGATAATTGGCAATATATGTCCTAGACTGCAGTGTACATTTCCTGATGATTGTGATTCGTTTTACTAATCTAAAATGATCCACAATCTGAACACAAAAATGTTCCAAATTTTGTAAAGTTACCTACCACCAGCACTATTCATAATCTTGTTCAAATAAACATATTGTCTTTTCAAAATTAAGTATAAGATTATAAATTACTAGAATTATAGAAAAGCAAAATAAAAGTGTTACTAATTTATAATCGTGTATGCATAGCACAAAAGACATTATTGAAAAGTAATCGGTATGCAAGGGGAGTTTGTACTTGCACCAGTTTATAGCAGCACCACACACGCTTTAGTTATTGAATATTAATTAGAACAAAATGCAGCCACACCCTGCACACGGCACAAAAGCACTCTATTTAAAGGCCCACTGCACTACTTGTAGCTACTTGCGCCCTCTATTCAACAAACAATGCCTAATCGGTGACCATTGCATGGTCCCCCATGATCCTTTTTTTCTTATGTTAACTGAGAGCCGAGTTGATGAGATAACCACCTGTTCAGTGACCTTGCAGGGCCGTCTAATCCCTCCTGTAAACTATGGCAGATAAGCTTTAAGAGGCTGGCACTCAACTGGAAGAAGAAGCTTAGAAGAAAGCCTGAATTCACGACAAGTGTGAATACTGCATGCACCGAGTGAAATTAAATTGAATGAGAGGGGAATTTTTGTTTCTTTTTCATTTGATGAAAGACTTATTACTTATACTACCTGTATCCTAAACTGCTCCAGGGTTTTGTATTTTCAAAACCATTAAAAGGGAAGTCCATTGCAAGCGGCCTGATATGATATTAAATTAGTTTTAATAGAAGCATGATGAGCCTGAGAGTAACAGCCTACAGTACAGGTCAGTGAAAGTTTGAGCTAAAAGCGATTAAAAATAAGAAAGTTAGGAATTTTTGTAGGTGCAATATCAAATGCAACTTTGTGACGTTTCATGCGAGGTCTACTCCTATTTGCTCTGTACTTAAAATCTTCAAGAAAAAATATGTTTCCATTATAAGAAAATGTTAAATCATATTAGACTAGGTCTATATATTCTGTGTAGACCTATATTCATAATCATACATATACAGTTGATCAATGCAAATATTTTAATACAATTACAACTGTACGCACATGTTTATTTCGTCATTAGTAACTTAGAAAATGAAAGTTTATGAATTTATCTGTACATAGAGTCAAGCCAGGGATATGAGAGTTTAACTCTCATATCCCTGGCTAGCCTAGACTATAGCTGATTGGAGAGGAGCTCACAATGGATTAAGTCTAGATCGTTCTAGATCTAGATCTAGATCTACTCTAGACTAGTTACATTAGTTTTTGGTGCAGTGTACATGTATGTTGACGACAATTAACTTTCATATTCAAAATTCATATCTTTCCTATTTTTCAACCTAATATTCAAATATTGATGAAACTCTCATTTCATTTGCTCCTCTTGTTTTTCTGCTTTCATTAAAACCAAGTTAATCTCCGGGTGGAGTACCCCTTTAATGCACCCTCCTCCCCTCCTCCTCTGCTGCTGAAGCTGAATGAGATTTGCATGCCGCGTCTGGAGCAGTGACTCGGATCTCTACTCTCATCCCTGCCCGTCCAGCTCGGCGATGAGCTGCATGCTCCGAACGCCTGCATGCCATTTGAGTCCCTCCTAGCTAATAATTTTGTTTAACTTTAAGTTTAACAAACCTGAAATTTAAACTTTGGAATCAAAGCCAAGTTGGCAGCCCAGCTCGGAGGTTCATATGGCAAGAATGGATAATCTGACTTCTGCATGATGCGATGACTTCCACAAGTTCCACCGACTCCTCAAATGCCAAATGACTTTCGCTTAGGCCGCAACGCTGAATGAGAACGGTCGGTGGTCCGGTACGGTACTAGGTCGGATCGGTTGTCCGATCCCCGCTCTAGCGCTGGCCTGAGATCGAGTTGGGCGCCGCGCTAGTGCATGCAGTAGAACATTAGTGCAGGAGATCTATGTCCCGATCTATGTATCGTCCGTCAGGGTATCCACTCCATCACTGACCATTCTAATGGCATATCAACTTAAAATTTTAAAAAATAAAACAATGGAAGGACCAAAATTGTGGCTTGTGGAGGGGGGGGGGGGGGGCAAAATTGAACATACATTGCAAGCTCCCACATGACGTACAGGCAGAGATCAATTGTTTCATCATCATCATCTCTTAAAGTCACATTGTCATCTAAATACTCATCAAGCATCAACACAATATCGTTTGCCATAATATATATGCACCTTCATCTAGTGTCTACTTTTACATCACTATCATAACCAATTATTTCCTACTAGTACATGTACAATTATCCATTCTTTAGGCCTATATAGTACTTTCATCACTATTTTTTCTCTGCAATTACCATCATTGCCCATGTAATGTATATGTAATAGCAAGAGGGAGCACATATGTCCACCCCCTTCCCCCCCCCCCCCCCCCCCCCCCCAACCCTGCCCCAAATGCCTTAACATAAAAGGGGAGGGGAAAAGCAAGAGAGAAAGGAAAAGGGGGAATGAAGAAGTATAAAGAAGTATAAAGAAACCCTCTCCCCTCTATTGCTTTCGCACACCCATCTGATACTGTTAATGTGTGTGAGGAAGGGCGTGTATTACAGAGTGAGAAGAGGGAGCTAAAGAGAGAGAGAGAGAGAGAGAGAGAGATAGAGAAATACAACCATTATATCATGATTGATATGGTAAATCTATGATTTTAGCTTTGCATTTGAAATGAAACAAAATGTGGATCAATGATATACATACAAACAAGAATCCGTTTATTCAGAAATATGAGGACAGTAACTGTAAAATAATTCACATTTTAAGCATCAAGCTCATAGAAATCAACAATGACATAAATCAAACATTTTGAAATGAGCATGATTTTTTCCTCCTACAAATGGAATGAGAGAGTCATAAGTGAGAAAGTTTTAGCCGAGGCCATCAAAAATAAAGACACCCCATCTTTTGCTTTGCAATATTTCAGACCGTCTTCTTGGAATAGAGGCAACAACAACAAAAATAGGCAAAAACTACTGAAATATATTCTACAAGAAATCTACGACTACCTGACATCTTCACCAAGTTTTTCTGATTTTTGTACCAACTTTTGGAAAAGACGACAATCAAATATGGGGTGATATGCCACTTCGTTGCCGCATAGAGGAACAAAATGAACCAGTATTTCAAGTTCAAAAAGAAAAATTTGAGAAGCAGTATAAATCATGGCATTTCTGTGTAATATAATTTAACATATGATCATATTCATTTGCTTTTCACTCTAAAATATATTTTAAAAAAGAAGGAGAAATTAAGACGTTGGGATAAAGCAATAATAAAGTCATCAAGTTGACATCCAAGATATTACAAAATCACAACATTAGATGTTAAGGTTTGCTGGTGTTCATGTAAATTTCCTTGCTAGATTTAGGCCTTGTTTTAATAAAGGGGGGTCAGCAGAAGTAATAATAAATTAATAATAATAATAATGAAAACTGATTATGTTTGGAGCCAGAAGGGCATTAACTCATAACACAATGTTAACGTCATTCTGACTCTAAACAGACAATGTTATGCTGTCCAGCAATTCATTCTCTCATATTTGCATCGATAGTAGTACCGTTCTTTCATTTCCAAGAGCAAATAAATAAAATGTTATTGATTTTACAAATAATGCCATACTGATATTACAAATCATGCACCTACTGCAATTTTAAAATTTCAATCAAAATTTTGCATATCTTCAAACATAAACAAGCCAAATTTCTTTTTTTTATATTACAAGACAGATAAAAAGAAAAAAAAAAACCTCCCTTGTTCAAAATAATTCAGGATTCGAATGAACCATAGTCTTATGCCATCTTGTCCATATTTCAGTCCAACCCTTCCTTCTTGACTCTCCAAAGAATATAACAGCTTTCATCAAACTTGTTTAGATATAACTTGACCTACCATTTGTAACTTAGAACATGTGTATAACTTTTGACGGTAAATAGAAATGAAAAACAAATGTGTAGCTTCCTCAATGCAAGTGCACTTATGACCATTCTACTCTTGAAGACCTGAAGAAGAAACTAACCTAAAGGCCTCACACAATTTAACAGGCGATATTGTTGTACCATCTTATGCAATTCAGGACTACAGTGCCAGTCACTATGAACATGACGGACAAAGAAAGCGGAAAAAAAATATATAGAGTTTGTCAGGTAGACAAAGGAACATCCTTTCACTGCTATTATGTAAAAATGTGTAGAACAGGTGTCACATGCATATTCACTTTTTACATAATAGGCAGTGAAGGGATATTCCTTTGTCTACCTGAGGAACTGTATATTTTGTCCGCTTTCTTTGTCCATCATATTCATAGTGAGTTAAGTCTTGCTCAGATACCAGGGGGGTGTTTCACAAAACTTGTCATCAGTGACAAATGACAGTTGTTGTTTTAAGCTACTGAAATCCTTGCTTCTGATTGGTTATCAGCAGATTTGTCACTGATATTTGTCATTTGCCATTGAAAAAAGGCTTTGTCAAACGGGTCCCTGGTGGTAAACTGTGACAGTCTTTTATGATCACGGAAAGTGTGATACGCTTCAAATTTCTCTATGTTATAACACAGAGATAAATGAATACGCATAGGACCTTTGTTATGTGCAGTTGCCTTTTATTTTACATAAACATACAAACAAAATGCTTTTTTTTTTAAATAAGCAGAACAAGCTTTCAGTATTGGTGCTAGAGGGAGACTATACAGTGATCCATCTCCGACATGGTGTTGGTTATCCTCTTTAGCATATAAATATTCTGACATACAAAGACATTGTTGATTGATCAACTAGAGTCTTGTCAAACAACAGTTTATTTGCTCTTGTGCACTCTAGCAGAGTTTGTATTTGTGATACATGTCATCGGATGCTGACAAAAACGAGGGTTTATCCCTGCAGATCTTCTGTAGTGAAGTGCTGAGAAGGTATCCGCTGAAGGCTCAGTCTCGATCCTTGCGCTTCCATTATTTTGCACCATCCAGAAAGTTGAGCTATCTTTTGAAATTCCCATGCTACAAAAAGTGATTCATTGATTTTTACATCCAGTTTTCTTTAATATGTTTCCTGTAGCGACAACAGTCATGTCCATTATGCTTAGTGTAACGAGAGTCTAACATCTGCTCCTTCACTTATCTCATATGCTTTCATGATGATATGACACTCCTTTAATTAAACATGGACTGTTCAGGAGTTCTTACTCTAATCCTTGCATTTATTATTATTGGTGGTAACTCTAGTGACATGGCGCACCCCTGTTGCTGTAGGAGACTACTGCCAGTGACGCCCATCGATGCTGATAAAGACCACTTAGGTGTTCTTGCACTTTATCTTCCATCCTTCGTAGGGCAACATCTCTGACCAGACCATACAGACCGGTGTTTGCATTCATCCTTCCATTGTTGGTTACTATGTTAATATGCCATGGTCAGACGCCAATGATGATGGCTTTTGTAGTGATGTGCAAGCCCATCAATGTGGATGGTTACCATAGAGATATGCCATGCACCATGATCCCGATGATCACTATAGCACCATGCCATGTCCTTTACTGCTGATGGTAGCTATAGTCATGCCACGCGGCGACGCCCCTCACTGCTGATGGTAGCTATAGAGACATGCCACGCCCCTCAATGCTGATGGCGACTGCTCGTGGGTTCTTGTTGCGTACGGCAGACTTCATATTCTGCATCTTACGAGAGTGTTTGTCCAGTCTCGTCTTCTTCTTGGTAACCTGCAGAATAACATTGGGAAAGGGATCATGATTACCATATGAACTTGCCAAAAATACCTTTTTTTTATGTGTTTTTCTCTGATCATGCAACTGATCAAAGGGCTTTACAGTGTATCCTAACCCTGGTCAGTGGATTCAATTACAATTCAGCACTTACGGTGCACATTTATACAGAATGAAGAGCATTCTAGCCGATGGCAAATAAAATAAATACAACAATACTCATATTAAATACATTGCTGTGAGAATCCTACTGGATACCCATATGACATCTGGGTAGAGAGAGGCAATAAACACGAAGATAAACAAAATTGTCACAAGGAATCAGACTAAATGCCCCCACGGCTCTCAGTAGAAGTCAAGAAGCTCTACTATAAAGTACCAAAGATTAAATTTCTAAACAGTATGTACATCACTGCTGATGTAAGAACAGACGATATAAAGTGAGGACATTGCTTAACGAAACCTACCTTAGAAAATTCTCTCTCTCCATTCCTCTTTGATAAAAGACAAGAAGCTCTACTATAAAGTATCAACGGTTAAATTTCTAAACATTATGTACATCACTGCTTATGTACAAACTGACGATATAAAGTGAGGACATTGCTTAACAAAACCTACCTTCGAAAATTCTCTCCTTTCATTTCACTTTGATAAAAGACAAGAAGCTCTACTATAAAGTATCAACTGTTAAATTTCTAAACAGTATGTACATCACTGCTGATGTAAAAACTGATAATATTGCTTAACGAAACCTACCTTAGAAAATTCTCTCTCTACATTCCACTTTGGTCTGACGACGTAGTCTTTGGTTGAAGGCAGAGGCACCCTTGCTCGGCCAACCCATCCCTTCATTCCTGGAAGGAGTCCCCTGATAGGAGGAAAAAACAAGAGATAAAGGGTTAATAAAGACTATTAAAGGCATCATTTAACAATGTTAAATCTGAGATGCATGGCCCTACGTGTTTTCAGTGTGTGTGATATGGTGTAATATTGAAGCCCTAAAAAAATTACACTCAAAAAAGTAAAAATCTTTGAGTGATCGGTTTTACCACACTCATTTTCCCCATTAGACTGTAGTGTTCTGAAAACCGTTTGGCAAACGCAAAACTTGATTTTGGATTTTCAATTATAAATATCTTGATAATCAGACAGGCGATCGACAGGCGATCGGCTTGTAAAAGTCATGGGGTTCTTGACTGACCTAAAGGTAAATAATTATCATTGCAGCATGAGCTAAATCAAGGATTTTTTTTAAAAGATCTGAGACAAAGTTACCGGATCCCTTTAACAAAGAATAATAAGCATAACATAAATAAATAGGATTGGGATACCAAATAGAAATGGTTTGAAATACTTGTTACGGCTCAAACTAAACAAATTTACCATATATGTTATATATTTGGCATTCCAACATAGTTCATGAATTACAAGAAACTTGCAGAAAGCTTTGCATTTTTTTTTTCTCTGCAATCAATCCATCAAAACTTTTTACCCCACAAAAAGAACGAGAGGGAGAAATTTAGGCATGTAATCTAAACAATTTAACACAGAACAATCGCATATTATATTTAGACAGGTATGAAAATTTAGATTCATTGGCAGTAAATTTACATTAATAAGGTTTAGAGATATGTTTTGATACACATTGAAGATATCATATTACAAATTATTGTCTAAAATGGCATCATTTTGATACTCACTCTTCTGCACCTTCCAAGGCAGATTCTATATTCTGCTTCTCCTCAGGAGTTTCATCAGAACTAAAAGGAAGAGAAATTGAAAAGAATTTTTTTCAATTTTTATTATTATTATCATTTTTTTTTGTGGTAATAGTTTGCATTGCATAGTGAAGACCAAAAATGGGTTCTCTAACAAGTGCTCCGGGAACTTTCTCTAGGCTTTGTTTCATAAAAGAGATAAGGTCAGGGTTCTAATTGGGTTCAAGCTTAGGTTTAGTGCTCTGGTTAGGGTTTTGTACAGTGTTCGGCCCCGGGTTGAAATTGGGAACTCGGTTGATTAATGATACTGGCCGTGGAGCAAATTGTTGCTGGAGCATCTGTTGTTAAAACTAGATGGAATTCGACTGCGCGCAGTAGAAAATGATGCCTCCGGCATAGAGCAATTTTACAAACCAAAACAGAAGAAATTTTTCGGATTCAAGTTCAATTGTAATCCATTGACAGGTTCTCAGAATATCGTGATTACAAGCAATTTCTCATATACATATATGGCCCTTTGATCTTTGACCTCATGACCCTAAAATCTACTCAGTTCATTGGCTCTGCAAGATGTCCTGAGTTAAATAGTAATCCATCTGTCAGTTCTAATGAGAATGCGTTCACAAGCTATTTTTGCATACGTAATGAGCCCATGATCTTTGACCTTTGACCTTATGAACCAAGAATCTACTCAGTTCATTGGCTCTGCAAGTAACATACATGACCTAATTTTGGCAGGAATCCATCAATCGGTTCTTGAGATAACGCGATCACAAGCTGTTATTGCATACATAATGTGTGCTGTGGCCTTTGACCTTTGACCTCATGACCACTAAATCTAATCAGTTCATCGGCTCTGCAAGTAACATACATGACCTAAGTTTGGCAGCAATCCATCGATCGGTTCTTGAGATAACGCGATCACAAGCTGTTTATGCATACATAATGAGCCCTGTGACCTTTGACCTTTAACCTCATGACCCAAAATCTAATCAGTTCATTGGCTCTGCAAGATACATACATGACCAAAGTTTGGCAGGAATCCATCAATCGGTTCTTCAGATAACGCGATCACAAGAACGGGACGTACGTACGTACAGACGTACGTACGTACGTACGGACGGACAACCCGAAAACATAATGCCTCCGGCTACTTCGTAACGGAGGCATAAAAAAGGGGGGCGGGGGTAGGGGGGACTAGTACCCAGCATCCTGGTTCTTGCACCCTTCGTTCAAGCCCCAGCTGAACCCACAATGCAGTTAGGTGCTTTCGTCATTGTCTTGATCAGTGAATGAACTTTTGATATCAGTTTTCTAACTACATAAGTCAACATTACACCGTACAAAAATGTTGACTGCTATCAATCATGATATAAAATCAGTAATTTTCAAAAAATTTCACAACTCTACTTTCCTCACAAGATAGCATAGATAAATATTTACCAAGTGCAAATAGTCAATACAAAGGTGATATAAAGATAATATCGTTTAGAAAACAGGAAAGGTTGCCGACATCCACATTTGGTAGAAATATTTCACACTTCAATTAGAACATTGATTTATATATAGTATATATATATTGAAGGCTATATTGAAGCGCATTGACATTTTTGCTGAAGATGAAATGCGCTATAGAAGCCTAGGTTATTATTATTATAATATATATATATATATATATATATATATATATATATAAATCATCCATTGAGAGCAAGACAGGCATCAAGACATGTCCTTTGGTAATGCAAGAATACCAGGCTAGTCTAAGTGCATATTTAGGTACACAAAGTAGTCACTCTTGGCTTATTCGATTGCAAAATAAACCTTTTCCTAAACAAAACATTGAAACTAGAGGTGTCACCAGACTGTCGATCACAAGGTCTGCGGTTCGAGTCCTGCCACGGCTCTAATGTCCTTTACCAAGACATTGATCTATATTTGCCACACTCAACCAAGGTGATGTGATGTAAATGGGTACCCGGCAGGAATTAATTCCTTGAAATGCTAGGGCGCCGTAATGGCCGCCTTGCTAAAGCCAGGGTAATAATCGAGGCACGCCAGGAGCGTCACAACATGACGTACATGTGCGCTATATAAGAAGCCATCATTATTATTAAACAAGCTCCACCTTACCTCATTCTTCTCCTCTTGGCAGCTAACTGTTGTAGATCTCTCTTCTGTCTGTCTTCTTTAGAGATCGATCTGAAGTTAGATTCTACTCCAAATATTGGTCTTGACCACTCATCTAAATACATACAGATAATTTACAATTATGTATCACATTCTAATTCTATCCCTTTGCGCCTCAGAATAGTTTACTAGATCGATGGCGCATAATAAATGCTGTATTATTATTATTATTATATTATCTGAAGAAACATATCAGGCATAAAACGATTCCATGATATTCATACATTTATATTCTTCAAATGACAAAATGTGTGAAATTAACAAATTCACCACCATGGAATTTACACAGATATTACACATTTAAATTTGTGAATCTAGACTTACTATTTCAGATTCCAGATGTTAATTCAAATTAATAATCCTACACATAATTAGTTCCTCTACCAATAATAACTGACAAACTTCAGTAAAACACTTACAGAGAGACAATCAAATGTAATGATTTCAGTTGCTTATATTGATTATTTTAGCCTGTAATCGATAATAAGTTTGATCACACTGGCAAGGTAGCAAAGATTAAACAAATTGAAGGCAATGCAGGGCTATTTAAGTGCAAGGAGGGTTAACTTGAGAGAGTGACTCACTTATGATCTTGCCGGCCCTCTCTCTGATGTATCTTAATTCCTTTGGGTGTCTATAAAGGCACATGACAGCCTTCCCGATCTCGCTCGTCTTCAGCATGTGCTGGTCAATGGGTGGGAACTGGGTGACGAAAGGATAGAAAGAGAAAGCTAATATATGACTGAAATAGAACATAATCGTAACAAGTCATCTAAGTTATGAGACTCTAGGACGACTATCCTCTGGAATACCAGCCACATGACATTTTCCCAGATAACTACCCCAGGACAAGCAACTTCTTCAAGATAGTGTGGGTGATTTTTTTTTATGGGGCAGTTGTCAGGATGCAGCGGAAGTAGAGGGGTAGATGTCAAGTTACACTTAGGGTTGGTTAAGAATTTGGATAGTTCTACATCAGGCCTGTAAAAAAAAAGATGTTGTATTGCCCTTTGCAACTGACCCAAAAATCTTGAAATCTACTGTTGGCTTTTAAAAAAAGTTTTTTTGTTTACCGTTTTTTAGAGAAAAAAAATATTAGAGCAATCAAAACTGAGAAAAATCAGCCCAAAGAGGGAGAAAAAAAAGAAAAAAAGTTTAACAAAAGAAAAAAGATTTCTGACCGACCAGTGTTTTGGCACCTAAAGGGTAATACAACATCTTTTTTTTGAGACCTCTTAGGTTGTAGTTAGGAATTCAATATCAACAAACTGAGTTTATACTTAAACTGCCAGAGAACAGTACCATAACACCTGGTGCTGTTTCCTTTTTATTGGTCGGGTAATGCTAGCTTTTTAATCTAGTTGCTTTTGTGTCATGCAATATTGCCTTTCTCCGATATAAGTGCACACTTCCATACAATAACCTTGTATACTCCCCAAACCTATTATGTTACATGTGTTATAAATGTCTAGTTACTCTTGTTTTTTAAAGCCCCAATGTACTACTTGTAGCTACTTGCTCCCTCTATATAGCAAACAATGCCTAAGCGGTGCCTGTTGGTCCGCCATGATCCTCTTTTTCTTATGTTAATTGAGAGCTGAGTTGATGAGATAGCCACCTGTCAGTGCCCATGCTGGGTGGTCTAATCCCTCCTGATCAAACTAGTACAGACAGGCTTCAATAGATTAGTGATATACAACATCATCTGAACAGCAGCGAATTAATTCAATTGGCCTAATTGGGGCTCTCCTTGCAGGGATTGTACGTCTGACCAGCTGCCAACTAGTATTATCTGTTGATACCTGAACTGGATAATATTCAAAATTGCACATTATATACAACAGCGATAAAAACAAACAAATTATCAGTTTTGAAAGCAAAGACTGGTAAACATACCCCTTGCAAGATCTTGATGAAGGACTCCCTGATCTTGAGATGAGGCAGACTCTTATCAGGAAGGGGTTTTAACCACTCTGCCATTGGTCTCAATACACCACATTCTAAGAAAGACAACTGCAGATCAGATCTGAAAAAGACAAGGGGACAGAATCAAATTATTAATTAACTAAACAAATACTTGGGATAGACTCTTATCAGGAAGGGGTTTTAACCACTTTGCCATGGGTTGTAATACACCACACTATTATTAAAGAAAGACAACTGCAGATCAGGTCCCCATTTCACAAAAATTGCCATCAGTGACAAATGACAGTTATAGTTATAAGCTAGTGGATTGGTTACCAGCAGATTTGTCACTGGTTTTTGTCATTTGTTCTTGAAAAATAGGCTTTGTGAAACGGGTCCCTGATCTGAAAAAAAAATATGAGGGGACTAAAATAATTATTCATTACACCAATACTTGTGATCACTGTACATCAGCTGCAATATCTAAAAGAAATAATTAAAGAAAGCTATACTTGTGTCAATTTTCAAAGAGCTCTTTTGAAGTTTTTCAGAGCTCATGCCCGGACTCCTCGGCTCAAAATTTGACCTCAAATGTCCTGCTTGAGGTACAGTCAAACCTGCTTTAGTGACCACCTGTCTACAACAAGCACATTTTTTGTTTCCCTTGAAAATGGTATCTCATTGAAACATGTACTAAAGGAACCTGTCTACAAAGACCACTTTTTGTGTTTCCCTTGGGCGGTCACTGTAGACAGGTTTGACTGAAGTTCATTGCTATAGAGCTTTACTGTTATCTGTGACAACAACAAAAAAGTGTGTTTTGGAAACGCTTCACTTCTGCTTCATGGTGGCTTCTCTTTTATTTCAGTTTGGGGATTCATAAAGTTGTACAGTCAAACCTGTCTATAAAGACCACCCACGGGAGACAAGAAAAGTGGTCTTTATAGGCAGGTAGTCTTTATGTACAGGTTCCTTTAGTACATGTTCCAATGAGAAAACATTTTCAAGGGAAGTGAAAAATATGGTCTTTATAGACAGGTGGACTATCTATACAGGTGGTCACTAGAGCAGGTTTGACTGTCTTAGGTTATCAAAAGGATGAATATATTTACACAATCATCTTGTTTAGCTTTTCATTCAGACCCAAAATCATATTATCTTCAGAGGAGAGGCAGGTATCTTAAATCTAAACCACTTACTTTTTCAACTGGCCCATTACAGCTGGGAGCATGTTGAGTTTCTTGGTTGCAGCTTTTCGAGCATTATTTAGTCTCCTATCCTCCTGCAAAACAAAAATTAAAAGAATGGAATTTGAAACAGAAAAGAAAAAGAGAGTCAGACAGAATAAGAACGACCAATAATTCCTCATCGTCAAATAATGATATTTTTCTTTAAAGTCATTTATAAAAAATCCAGATGCCTCAAACTCTGGAGAGAGAGAATGGAGAAATTTCAAGAGGATGCAGACATGGCTATTAACCCATCTGAACTACCATGGATCACATGGTGCAGCCTCAACAGACTGCTCCCAGGCATGGGGAAGTGCAAGGCAAATATGCACACGCGGGGATACATTCACAATGCATTGACACTGTGAATGTGGGCAGAGCCCCCCCCCCCCCCCCACCCAACCATGGACCATCTACCCAGCTGTGACATGCTGAATGACACATGCAGCTGGGAGGGATCAAGCGGAGACCAACAACGTGACACTTACTTTTGCTAGACACTGGGAAACAGTTAGCCTCTTGTCGATGGCCCTCGCGTTGTTGGAGTCTGTAAATTTTGGCGAGCGAAGCGAGCCAGAGAAACCGAAGCGCTTGCGCTGAGGGCCTCTTGACAAGTGATCTGAATTATATATTCATGAGACCCGAATTCCTACTGAATTATGCATGTCTAGACTACGTGAATAATGTAACCACCGCAGCGATTGTGTGTGTGTGTGTGTATTGGGATCGCCCTTCTAGGCGGCCAGTCTCAATACTCTCATGGAGGAAATTCGCACAGAGCGGTAGATATAACGTCATATTAACTTTCTCTGATTGGATGATTTTCACCGACTTCTGTTGGGTCAGAATATTCGCCAAACAATGTAAAACATAAGAAATTCAGATCACTTGTCAGGAGGCCCTCAGTGCAAGCGCTTCCGTTTCTCTGGCTTGCTTTGCTCGCCAGAATTTACCGTCTCCAACAACGCGAGGGCCATCGACAAGAGGCTAGAAAACAGTAGAGTCAGGAACCGAAAATGAAGATGACCTAATAGTAATGAAATCGTACAGAAACGTTAACTCACCATGGCTACTTCGTTCATCTGTTTGATCATAGCCATAATGATGTCATCGCTGTCATTGATGAAGTCATCATTGTTGCGTTTCCGTCTTCTGAATTTGTTATCCTCCTTTTTCTTCGCCAGCATCGTTTCAAAGTCAGACACAAACTCACTGACATTCAAAATGGGAAAAAAAAAGGAAAAAAAATTATGCCAAAAGGAATGATGATGAACAGTGAGCTTAAACAATGTCATTTGATCTCCATCAGTATTCCATTTAAGTCATGTACCTGAGAACAATATACATCTACATAGACAGTTAGTCAAAACTATGCTGACCAGTTTAAAAAAAATATGTTAATTTGCATTACGAGCAGCGAATTTGAAGCTCTCAGAATGTATACATCTAAAAAGTTTATTTACATTCTTTTAAATTCCCCGTGTCAAACACACAATGATAATGCAACAAATCAGGAAACAGCATGTACAGAAAATTGTGATGTTTCTACTCATATGTCTGATATATCTTTAGGGCTCTGAATCAGAGGCCAAACCACAAAATGTGGGCATCTGTCATGAATAGCTATGGTACATGCAATCTGTAGGGGCTAATGGTTTAAACACATTTAACTGTTCATGAAACGGCCATGGCCATTGCAGCAATCGGGCGATGGAAGAACTTAATTTAATTTAATTAAGGAACTTTACATAACTATCTTGATCTAAGGAGACACGAACGAACGATTAAGGGTATTATCAAATAAAAGTTTCAAAACAAATATAAAACAGAATTATATAAAATATAAAATATATTGACTTTCTTCATGTGTTGTCATGGTAACTTACGATCCTCCTCTAATACTATCCAAGCCCTCATCTGAATCAGAGTCTCCGGGTGGAGGACCGGGAGGTGCTTCAATCTTCTCAATTTCGTCGTCATCCTGCTCATCTCGTATCTTCTGGATCGCATCTTCCATCGCCGAGGCATCCATCTCAGCATTGTCGTCATCATCGTCGCTTGATAAGACATCTGTAATCGAAAATGTATGACAAAAAATTTACACTTATATTTCATATTTGTACTTTAAAAAAAATTACTTATGAGGATATCCATGTATGTCAATCTTACATTACCATACATCATAACGTGTTAGAATAATTTAAGGAAGATTACAGAACAAGCCCATTTTTCAGGAAGGTTTTATTTTTAGAATTTCACAAATTGCTGTAGGGTGCCAAATTTAACAAGTCAATGCAAAGCGTAGCATCCCCTCGCCTTGTACAAATGGCCTAAATTTAGCAATTTTTGCATATTTAATAAGATGTTACCTTTCACGTACATACTCAACAACATTACTTAGGTTATTGAATGAAAACCACATTTTTGCATACTTTAAATCAGAATTTTCGCATATTTGATGAGCTATGACCTTTGCCCTACATACTCCGAAATCATACTTAGCATGCAGTTGATACCATGTACCTTTATATCAAATTTTAGACCTAACGATATGATCTCATTGCGAGCCCAACAGGCCGGCAGAATAGGAGAATTCTTACAATGCATATGAACTAGATGATATGCCAAGGAACTGAAGGAGACTTACTTGAACTCTTCTTCTTCTTTGCTGGGCCCTGCAACTCCGCTGCACCAAAACCCTGAAAACAATCAAATAACAAAAAATTCATATCACAAATAGAGACTTTGAAACATGAAGTTAAAACTCTAAGTGCATGACCATATAATTCATGACAATCAATAGGACATTAGGGTGATTAGACACCATGATTGCACTTTTCTACTCTTGCTTTGTTCTGATATAACATTCTTATGTATATGTACATGTGTAAATGATTAATTCAGGCTGTAGCATTTGTATTTTACGTAATAACCGTTGATGCACACATTACTGCACAATGCTTTATTTCATCATTACAATAAGGGAGTACAAGTATTTTGATACTGCAAAAACATGCGTAATGATATTGTAAAAATTATGACACCCTTCTACACTGAAATCCAACTTCATACAGATATGCCTTTGAAATATAAAGTTGAATCTCATAGTGTTTACTGTTTGGGAATTATTACTAGAATTATCATTCAAGCCTTTAAAAATTATGGCAAATTCTACATTGTACTCACTACTCAATACCTTTGATGACATGTATTCTTCAATATGATTTTTGCCCCATGCACATAACACTTTATTGTTTTTAAAAGCTGTGATATACCTCATCTTTCAAATTTTATGAAATTTTGTATCAAACTACAATCAAGACTTAAAAGACTATTGAGGAATAATAGCTATGGGTTGAAGAAAAATAAAAATTATTTGAAGACTCACCTCAAACTCCTCCTCTTCATCACTGGAACCAAAGATATCTGCAATCAATTCACCCACTGCTTCTTCCCTGATACATACAAACATACACACACACAGAAGAACAAGGGGGAGGGGTAAGAAAAAGGTTGAATGATCAATAGAAAACAAACATTTATATGTATTTTTAAGAGTTATTTATGATCATGAGAACTATCCCTAGCGCAACAGATGCAAAGCAATATCTGCTTCACATATCTTTTCTATTGGTTTTCTTAGTATTTTTATTCATATTTATTTATATATGGGCTGTGGGAATAAAACATATGCACAGACATTTTGTCATCCAGAGGGATTTGCCTTAAGGAAAGTGTGATTTGGAGGACTATAACATTATTATGAAAATAATGTCCATATTCTTGGGATCCTACAAAAACAATCTATGCTTTCCAGTAGGTTCCCGTTTCATTTCATAATTTTTAACTTACTTTGTTAACCATGTTCTTTATTGTGCAAACAAATTGATATGAAATGGAATAAATTCAAATCAATCAATCAATCAATCAATGTGCTGCTAGATAAAAGGTGTGATGCTTCATGTACGACATCCCAGGTTGAATTTTTGAAACTTGAACAAGAAAGCCGTAAATATCTGTCCATCGACAAAAGACCCAACAATGACCCTAGCGATTTCTGTACAATAGTCATACCGCATACAATATTTTTTCACGGAAGATAACTGATATCCCGGCAAAGAATGAAACTTACTTCTCTTCTTCACTTTCATCTCCGCTGTCCCTGGCTAAGGCTCTCCTCTTACTCTTGGATCTTCCGATGACATCATCTTCATCATCGTCGTCACTTGCTTCATCTGATGAAGGAACAGAGTAGTGTTTCTATCTTAAAATGGTACATGTATGTTTGTATGAATTTCGATTTGAATTGTATTCTCTAAATAGAAGGATAATACCTGACAATTAGTCAATATATGCCTCCAAATGATGAAGCCTACTTTAAATGCAGAGTGCAGAAACCTTTCTGCAGTTATTTCCATGCTATAAGCTTAATAGAACATATTTATATTTTAGAAATATATACAAATTAAAAAAAAATTAAAAAAACATGGGGTGGAGAAAATGTGAAAGCTAACAGAAGTATTTTAATGGAAAACATGTCTTTAGAAAAGAATTTTCATCTTTATACTGACAATTTTTCTCGTAGATATTCTGAATGATAAAATACACATTATTGCTTAACAAAGATAAGACAGTTACTCTAAGCTATTTGGAGGGCAAATATAAGGGGTCAGAATGTGAACTGGCCAAGAGCATACCTTGTAGTTCTGCCATGAAATCATGACCGGCATCAGCAGCAGCCTCCTCTCCCCCTGCTTCTTCTTCATCTCCTGATACCTTGGCCTCTTCCTCCCTCTCTACTTGTTCCTCTCCATCCTCTGCCTCTTCTGCTGCTTCTTCCATAACTTCTCTCTCTTCTCCTTCCTCCTCTTCGTCCGCATATTCAATGTACTCTTCCACCACTTCTGCATCCTCATCATCATCATCGACAATCTCCTCCCATTCCTCTTCCCCCATCTCCAAGTGTTCTTCATCGCCAGCTTCAATGATTTCTGGTTCTGGGTCTCCATCATCATCGTAGTCACCCTCAACTTCCTCTTCGATCTCCTCCAAGATTTCTTCTCCTTCTTCTTGCTCTGGAGAGACAGCCTCTCGACCATCTTGCTGGTGTTGCCTTTGGATTTCATCTTCTTCATCCTCGTCGACGTCTTCGTATAGAGGTTCTCTCTCGCCTTCTTCTTCGTCTTCATCGGCGCTAAATTGTGCTTCGATTTCCGGAATGTCTTGTTCTACCCGCCTCTGGTCTTGAACCGGGGCATCCTCAAAGTCCGCCTCCTCATCATCATCCATCTGTTCATACAAATCATCATGCTTCTTCTCAGGCTGTTCCTCCTGCGCATCATCGTCTTCAATCTGTTCCTCGTCACTTAGGATCTGTTCATATTCATTACTCGCGTTTTGCTGGGCATAACCTTCAGCACCATCATCCTCCTCCGCTTCCTCTTGCCTTGATTCCACTCTCCTCTCGTCATCACTGGCTTCTAAATCCCCATCACTGACTTGTTCAACATCGCTCACTTGCTCCAAACCTTTATTGTCCTCCTCCTCTTCCTCATACGGAAGCTCTCCATCACTCTGATCATCCCCATACCTTTCATTACCATCGCCTTCTTCTTCCTCCTCATGCTCCCCTTCTTCCAGTTGCTCCCCTTCTTCGATCTCTTCCCCTTCCTCTACTTCTTCCCCTTCTTCGATTTCCTCCCCTTCCTCAAGTTCTGCCCCCTCCTCCACCTCCTGTCCGTCTTCTACCTCATCCCCTTCTTCAACATGATTCCCTTCTTCTCCTCCGGAATACTCTACCGCTTCGTGCCCTTCATCTTCTCGCTCATATCCGTCTTCCGACCTCCTGTCGTCCACCTCCTCGCCTTCCTCAGATCCTTCTTCTTGGTACTGCTCAGCATCCTGTTCATGTCGACCACCATCATAGCCTTTTTCATCTCCTTCTACAACCCTCCTCTCGTCATATTCTTCATCGCTGCCAAGTCTTTCCTCCTGTTCCTCTTCTTCTGCGTCGGATACTACTTCTCCAGCCTCCCCTTCTTCTCCTTCTTCCTCAGCCGGCGATTCATATTCTCCTTCCTGTAACAAAGATAGTATAAGATGCCACAGTGAGAAACGGTCTTGGTGAACTTACCGAATGGTGCAAGTACCTGCAAACTGTGTGCATCTGTAAAACTGTAAAGTATTCAAAACAAATGCCAATCTGGGTGTAAAAGGATAATATTATTTGTGTATCATCTAGGGGATATGTGTTTCAATGTGATGGGATCACAGCTTTCCCAGTATAGCTTCTAGGAGCTACTGAAAGGGATTACTATTTCAAGGTTCAAGATGATGCCATAGGCATAACTACAATCTTATCTGGAAAATCATTGCCTAGATGTACTATTTTCATGCTCTCGGTCTCAGTAATCAACACGTTAACACTACATTACTCTTCTTACCTCACTACCGTCTTCTCTCTCATCTAGAACAGGTGTACTTCCTCCGTTGCTTCCTGTAAAAAAAAATTAAGTATTGTTTTTTTAATCGCTTAGCATATTGTCCTTACTAACCAGAATTAAAGTGGCCCTATGAAAATGTGCCAACATTACTGCAGGACTCGACACTAACAAACTTCTGGAATTGAAAAAGGGACCCAATGCAAACAAACCCTGAAAATTCTTAATGTGAATCCATCCATTGTGAAGAAAAAAAAATGTAGAGCCCTGTTAACTGTTTAGTATTTGTTAATCACTAAATGCATCTAGTTAACATAAAAAAGGCTACATATATCACATTGTGAAAATGAGCTAATCTTAGACAGTGTCATCTAGGTCTAAGTCTACAACTCATTTATGTCAAAATCTGTTTAGCGTTGACATTCGGCCTTCTAATTCAAGATTTTCAACATTGTTAAAATAAAAGTGGCACCTTAAAGTGATTGATGCAGGGCCAGGGAAAGTTAACAAATAGGTAGCCGTCTTGTTTATTAATCTATTTAAAACAATTAATATTCCATTTCTATGTGTATGTGAATTTCATTGAAGAAAGAAGCAACCTTTTTAAATTGCATTAAAAAAACAAAGTCAAAATCTCAAAGATCAAACTCAAACTCAAACTCAAAAAGTCAAAGGCATTTACCACTCTCATATTCTTCCTCCATGATGATGATGATAATCTAGATCACGAATACGGTTTATCACAAAACTAGTGATGGCATGTTTAATTGATTTTCAGTTTTGAAATCGCTGAAGAGATGAGGCGAAGTTCCGTTCTCACTTGCACTTCTGTTATGTCGAAAAGGCACAAACCACAAGCGGCGATGTCTACGGGTGGGACTGGACACGGAAATTGGACGCGTTAGCTGCGTCTTTTGTCCTATCCAAAACGTCGAAATCGTCACAGAAAACACTCCTAAATGAAAGCGGTTGTGTAAATCATATTTCAATGATTGTTAAACCACGATGAATCAAGCGATGAAGTTCAGAGGTTTGATAAAATCTTGCGATCTTCTTGTCTATCTGGAGGAACGTCACGCTATGTACGGTGCAAATGCTGAATATATAGCGCAGCGTTATTGTTAGCACTGCACTGTAATACATACGTATAATTGATAGCAACAATACTAACACTACACCTAACACCTGTGTTAGGTGTTGTGTTAGTGCAGCTGCTTGGGGGGGGGGGGTGGACAAACCTGTCGTGCCCTCCTAATTTAAAGGTACTATGCCCCATTTGCAGGCCAAAAAAAATAAAAAGTTAAATTCCAACTGCATTTGAAAGATAATACTAATTTAGAACTACCCTAAAAAAGGTGGGGCTTGAAATGTCTTCAAGTGGGAAAATAACGTACGACTATTAGTTGTCAAATCGACTTTAGGGCTATAGAGCCCAAAAGTAATAGCCTTGATTTTCAGACAATTGTACCAAATGGTCATACGTCTTATGCTGCGCAAAGATTCAATCAATTTAATCTTGGCCTTCACAAGTGGGTTATTGATGTAGACAAATGCTCACGTACCCTTTACAACTCTTTTCATGTATGTTATTACCAAAGAAGAAAAAAAGCCAGTCAGTCACTCAATAGTGTCCAGGGGCGTACGCAGGGGGGGGGGGGGTTGGGGGTTCAAACCCCCCCCCCTTTGGTATTTGTATGTGTAAACCCCCCTAAAAAAACTAAAAAAACCCTCCCCCCTTTCTTTTGTTTTGTTTGTTTTGTTTTTTTAAGTAAAAAAATAAAAAATAAAAAAATATGCCCACGGCTAACGTAAAGTGACCTTACCCCCCCCCCCCCCCCAACGAAAAAATTTTTCAAATTTTCAAATTTCGAGACCAAAAAAAAAAAAGTGTCCGCTTCCCCCCTCCTTTCTCTTTGAAATTCAAATACCGCCCGCCAAATGACGTGTTTTTAATCACCCATGCGTGAAGTATGCATCATATGAGTTGCATCAAATGAAAGAATATGATCTAAGCTTTACAAATATGTGTCATTTATTCATTATGATTGTGATTAAGTTCTCGGTTTCGTTTTTTTTTCTGGGACGCCACTGTATATCAAATAATAATGATAATAATAACAATAATAACAATAATGATAATAATATTAATTTTAAAACAAATATATACAAATAAAACTTTAAAATCTGACGAGCAAAAAAGAAAAATGGAGGTTCAACCCTACCACACCCCTTCGAAATCCGCCGACTCCTGCATTTAACTTATAATGGTTGGTATACATTGGCTTAATTGTTGTTGGTTTTCAGTCTGAAAGTACATTAATATTAACCTTATTTCAGGCTCTGGCAAAGCACCCCATGATTAGGGATAGAACGCGAGTGTGGCCAAGAAATATATATATAGCCTAAAGCGTCTTTTTATATTATTATTCTAAGGACAATGGGGTGACCTAGGATAGGGGCGTAACAAATTTTCTCGGCTAGGGTTGGGGGCGTAAATGCTCTCCAGCTCAGTCCGCTCCTCTGCTGGATCCCCCGAGATAAAGTTCAGTGGATTAAGATAATATATAGTTCGTTTGTGACACCAACAGGGCGGACCGTGCATGGGACTAATATAAATCGGCCTTTGCTTTCATCAACAGGCTCTTCTAAAGACCCCGAAATCGACTGGCTCTCATGCCCTTTAGCCAGCCCGCGCCGTGCCCCTAGACACCACTACACCCCCTAGCTAAATTAATAGGCCTAGTAGGGATAAAAGATGAAGAAAGATTCAACATCCGGGTTGGATACTAAACTTTAGTTCTTCGCTTCCACCTTTGATCCGACACTATTTATAACCTAACCCTAATTATAAAATGGCCGATAATCTTTGGCGAAATAAAACCTAAAAAACGTGGTTGTCGCTGGTTCAGCGACAGTTCACTAATTTTTTTCTTTCTCATCCTCTTTCAAGGTATTTGTTATTTATTGCAAAATGAATATGACTTGCAGTGAGTGGCGTGGGAGTTTAATAGGGTTTGGTTGTTGTTGTTGTATTCAGCGTTATATGGCAATCAGTCAAATTCGACTATAATCACCATCTATTATTTTGTCTTCTTAGTTGACGATGGACTGGCAAAATATACTGCCCAACTCTTGAATGCTCTGAGAAGAAGATTACACGCCTCCCCTATTTATAAGTTTCTGGTTATGCCACTATATTGATACGGGTCCATACCGACCATACAAGTACAAATCTAAATAGTGATAGGTCTATATCAGTTACTCTGCTAATCAGTAATCAAAGCATTAACATGTTGCTGATATTAGTACACTCCTAATTCGTCGATGTTAAATCAATATTGTTTTAATTGACCACTGGTTGCCGTTTTTATGCAGAGTGCTAATTTTAGCCCAAGACAGGACTGAAAATCAGATAAATCGTAGAGCAGATCAGTGCCATGGCAATTGAAAAGGTAAATACCAACTTGAACTAAGCAGTATAGCAATAAGTCGTAATTGCATCGTTATTGACTGAAACTAACAGTTTTACCGATCGACGTTGCGAGACAAAATCGCTTTGATTTTTGTTCCAGCCAGGCAAAATGAAACACTGAATAAATCATGATACGAGGGCATGTTACACCTTGCAGTTCTGTACGACACTCATGATTAAGCTACTAAGTTAAGGTAGACTTTTCTATCTTTGTAAAACATTACTTGAAAATAACTGTCGCAATCGCTCTATTTTGATGGGGTTGTATTGCCCTTAATCAATACAATGTCGACTTATCCTTAAAGACCATCAACGCAGGTAATAATGTCTTCCAGATCATCATCGTCGTCATCGTCCCCCTTTATTTCATCTACGGTTTCGACATCCAACTTGACATGCGTCAATACGATAGACACCGTTATCCCTGACGAGGATTGTGAATTCTTGACCACAGCTGCCTTAGTCTTCGTCATTGTCAGCATAGTCGTCATCATCTTCGGAATCGTCATCAACAGTTGGCTTCTCTTCATCCTCCTCTCCAAACATCGCAAGAACAGGACGGTGCCCGACATCCTTATCGTAAACATGTCCGTCCTGGCCGTACTCATGTTCGTCGTTGTCGCGGGAAGTAACGCCATTCTTTTTTCCCAAGTGGCTTTTCAAGTCAAGTTTACTAGCAACGTGAAGCTAGACAAAGCTATTTTGTATTTCCAAGTGGTAAGTTTGTTTTATACCATTGTAAACTTTCATGATATTCTTGATTGCAAGTGTTGACTTGTTATCAAAATGGATATTTAACAGTTTGAGCACTGCTGTTATAGTATAGGTTTAAACTTTCAACTTTTAAACTATTTCCCCTTCTTTATTTTTCCTTGTAACGTTTTATCCCCCTCTCCCTATCACAGTTTAAATGTAATTGCAAAGGAATTTCATACTATAGTCAATTTTCAGGTTTATCTTGATTGTCAGTTTCGAAAAGTAATCAACATGGATGTTGGAAACTATTAAACTTTTATTTCTTTTCAATTTTCCTTTTAGTACTCCTTCAATTTTGTCTTCTCGCTCTCTCTCTCTCTCTCTCTCTCTCTATTTCTGTATGTGCGTCTCTGTTTCTATTTCTCCCCCCCCCCCCTCTCTCTCTCTCTCTCTATTTCTGTCTGTCTCGGTTTCTCCCTCCCCCTTTCTCGATATATATATATATATATATATATATATATATATATATATATATATATATATATATATATATATATATCATCTCTCTCCCTCGTTCTTCTTTCTATCACAGTTTATTTCCATCGCTTCATTTGCTACTCTGGTTGTCCTCGCTTTGGATCGCTTCTTCGCGATTGTTTACCCTTTATTATCGCGACCTTACCGGACCAAGAGAAACGCGTTGATATTGTGTGGCTGTGTATGGATAGGTAAGACAGGAATGTTATTAATAACATTATTAGTAAAAAAAAAATGTAATGGAGATTTCCTATACAAATTAATGTCAGTCACGTCGTGACGCTCCTAGCGCTATGCCATATCAAGTACCCTAATATACTTGGGTGGAGAGGAGCAAACGTGGATTAATGTTTTGCCAAACTCTCTCTCTCTCTCTCCCTCTCTCTCTCAAACAAACAAACAAAATAAACCCCGATGCTGATTCGATCACATACACACATTTCTGTAAATAATCACATTGGCTTTTATATTACTTTCATAGTACAGATATATCGACTGCTATGAGAGGCTTGGCTGTTATATGGCTCAAGCCAACCCAGGCGCGCCTCGGGGTCATGGCAGGATGTGCACGTCCCCGAGAGCCAACAGCCAGACCTCGAATACGTCTTTTATATACCGAAAAAAATCTACTAAGAATTCTTACCTTATCCTTTTCTTGAGTAAAGATTGCTTAAAATATCACGGAAAATCTGAAACACTGTCTGTTAATCTTCGATGGAAACGGATGACTGTATGTTACAATCAATTGGGAATCGCAGACAAAAAACACTACATGGTTGGTGTCCGCGCTCGCACAAAGAATACTTTAACACGTAAATCAATGGGGATCTCATCAACATTTTACTATTTTCCCGGTACCCGGAATCTTTCGGGAATCTCACTCGCGAATCATTAACCGTTACTGGCATTGTTTGTTTCTTTAACGGGAATGGCTAAAATCACGTCTCCAATTTCGTATTAATCAGATGGCTAGATTTGTAAGAGAGGTATATAAATTGATTTATTTGATATACATGATCTTATACAAATAGACGTATACAGATACTGTTAACGCCGTGTATACATTCTTTTGTATTTGTAGTGTCTGGTTTGTCCGTACTACCAATCGTGATCAATGGTGGATCAAGGAATTTCTTTGAGAACTATTCCAACCCGTCCTTCAAACCAACTGTCATCGTTTCCACCGTCTTTATATACGGGTTATCTATTACCATCTTCATCGCCTGCTACTCCGCTATCTTGAAAGTCATTTGGCGCAACCCCATCCATCGACAGACCTCCGCCCGAGACCAAAGCACAACCAGCCGCATACGGAAGCAGCGAATTAAAATCCTCAAGACCGTGTGCATCATCATCACCAGCAATGTCGTCATCTATGGCTATTTCTTCGGCGTTATTTTGTGGATCGCGTGTGGCGGGCATACACGCGTCAGTGCGCGGTTCAGCAATGCGTTGCTGTACTCCTCAATATTGGTGGCTTATCTGAACCCTTGTATCAACCCGTGCGTGTATGCCTTCCACCAGATAAAGATTAGACGTTATCTATCTCGAAGAAAGCTGCGATATGAGCAAGCATCATGGAACGGTCGTCCATTACCAAGCACAAGATCGGAGATCAGAGCTCGGGAGGAAAGGTATGATAGTTTGATCGAACGTCCGTTGCACACGAGACGTCGTACGTCATTGTGCTGACGTAGGACCGCGTTAGCAAATCCCGAGGCAGTCTTTGACGCACCAAGTACGTGTGGAATTGATCAAATAAGAAAGCAAAATAGATATCGCATTAAATGGCAGGGTACATAATTTATGCTCGATGATGGTAGGATTGCCGGTATAATTCTATTCAGCCAATCTGGGATCGATATCCATGCAGGCGCACATCATTGTACGATTCCATGCAAGCGCAGCTAGCGCCACTTATTGACATAGGAGAAGCCATGCAATGTTTCAGATAATAATTGACGCAACATGCCATTGTACTCAATCTGACCAACATGCGAAGTAGTGCCTGTCAAACAAAAGGCTTTATCTGTACGGTTCGCACGTGTCATAGTTGCATGAACTCTCTTCAATTTATGGTACATGTATTGTAGGAGAAGTGGTTTGACGCCTTTTTTGCAACCAGCATTGTGTCTCACGATGCGGCGCTTCACTGCGTGAATCAAGGGCATTCACTTATCACCCATGCAGGCATATATAGACGCAAGTCATTTCTCCTTGACGCATGGGGTGCCAAAATCAAGGCCTAAATGGCGGGAGGTTTCGGATTTGAGTTCATTGTTCACATGGTTGACGGAACACGTTTCAACAAAATGTGAAGTTCGTGTCAATAACATTGCCCTATTGTTCAGCTCATTCATTTCGATATAAACTATTTAAAAAGAAACCAATTATTATCGCAGTTGAGCTACACCTCTTTTTCAGTCGGTATTACGAGCCACAAAGACATTTCTGTGGAATATGTTGAAAACTTTGATGATGGCAATGAAACAACTTTTATTATGAGATACGAAAATTCGACGAGAAGTCAATAAAAACAAAACATAGATTTTGTTTAAAGTAACCGACATTAACTAGATTAATAATAGATTTGACTTGAATAAGACATCTCATATCTCTCTGTGTGTCTCTTGCTCCTTTACCCCCCCCCCCCCCCTCTCTCTCTCTCTCTCTATCTATCACACACCCACGCACCCACACATTTATCTCTCCATCCTCTCTCCTCCATTGATTCATTAAACTACTATTCCATTTCATGCTTTTGCAATCGTAATTAAAATAAAATACCAATAATATTTTGTTTTATTGTATAACATTTTGATGACTACATAGTAAAAACTTACCTCTTAAAATTAAGGTAAAGTATTTAAAGCTACGAAACATATTCATGATTTAAAAAGTGTTAATTAAAATATTTTCAACATTGCCACATTTGTATATACATGTACTTGTTATTTATTTTCATTGCATTGTATTAAGACACATGTACATGTTTGTAATTATTAGATGGGGTTCCGTCGGTAAATATAAGTTAGTCAATTATTGTAGCACATGTACCGGGGATGTTCTAGAAATTATGGACACAAAATCAAATTATGTTTTGCTCAAGCGTTGGGAAATACCTTTTTTTGTGTGAAAACGATGATGATGAGAATGATGATGATGATGATGATGACGATGGTGGTGATGGTGGTGGCGGTGGCTTATATACATTATGTCGCTTCTGCTGACCGGGCGAGCATGGCCCTTGTTTCAAAATATCTCACGGAATTTTCAAGTAGTCAGACTACAGCTAGTGTGTGTTTCGAAAGCTTAATTCCATCGTTCTGCCATTGGTCGTATATCAGGGCCCCGTCTTACAAAGACTTGCGATTGATCCAAATCAATCGTAAGTCCTCCAATCAATCGCAAGTTTGCAGTCTCCTATCTCTAATGTACATAGTTGCGATTGATATCAATCGCAAATAAGTTGCTATTGATATCAACTCTTTGTAAGACGGGGCCCAGGTTGTAATAATGATTAAGTGGTTCAACAAACAAAAAATATTCATGAAGATTTGTTAACCATTCTTTAGATAAATGTGTGACGCAATACACACTGTTGACCATAAAGTTAGCATAACATTTTCATATCTTATTTCATGAAAATGATTGTGACAATATGGTTAATCTTGATCAAGTTTATATTTACTCAGAAATCTTTTATTCAACATCTATGATTATTTATATTGATCATACAGTTCTGAGAAGATATAAACTTTATCTATCAAGAATAGACCATACTGTCACGATTATTTTATAAGAAGTGGGAAGAAAAAATATTGACAATTTAGGGAATATACATACATTGAGAAAATAATTCTCACGATCAACATGATTAGAGATTGAATATCTACTCTTTTATCAAAGATGCTCTTTTGTATATTCGATAAAATCGTCGGCCATCTGTCGCCCAATTTCATATGAATTATCTCCAAACCACGCAATGCCATGAAAACCGTCTTCATAATTCACCCACTTCACTGGCACGCCCGCATATTCCAGCCTCTTTGCATAGAATATCCCGTCATCGCGTAAACAGTCGTATCCGAACGTCGCGACGAACGAGCGGGGCAATTTGGAAAAATCTTCGCGGTAGAGAGGCGAATACTTCGTCGAGGTCAAAGCGTCCTTCATGTTCTCCCATAGCTCGTCATCACCGAAGTCTGATGTCGGAGGGACATAGCAATCCGGCTTCATATCAGCTGGGATGAGATCATGGCTGAGATGCTTCTGATAGAATTCCGATTGTTTGAAGGCAGCCGATGTGTGGTTGTTCGCATAGATCTGCTGTCCGAGGTGCTCGTCCACACTGCCAAAGGTGTATGCAGTGACGAAGTATGGCATAATACCAATCATGTCTACAGTTTGTCCGAAACCACCGTGCTGGCATCGCCCCTTCTGCATGGATGGGGTGTTGTGGTCGAAGCTCTGAAGCCATGGGTATATGAGTACCTGGAGTTTGATGTCGGGCAAGGAAGGCTCGTCCGAGATCGCCCCAGACACAAGGGCGGCGAGGAGACCACCGGCACTATCCCCTATCAGGGCTACTCTCGTTGGATCAACGCCCAACTCGTCAGCGTGGCTCAGGAACCACTTCGTGGCTGCAAAAGCGTCGTCGAATGCAGCTGGGAACACGTGTTTAGGTGCTAGTCGGTATCTAAACAAGCAGGAAATAAGTCAAATTGATAACTCAATCACAAAGCTAAACTGTCTCCAAGACAACGTCAAACTGGCCAATGGAAGTAATGTAATTTCTTGTTTGGTCTGTTGTCGGTCTGGTGTCGGCATCGTTGGTGTGGCTGTGGCATATGAACTTGGTTGGACACATAGTTTTATATTATAAAAATGCAATCTTCATAAGATAATTCGATGATTTGAATTATCAACTCAGCTTCTTACTTAGTTTCTCGGACGACTGTTTCACAGAGTGTTACTGGAATATTTTGAATGGGTTGGTGGCCGTTGGGTTGATTTTGCTAACAGAATAACCATGTTTGAAGGTTCTCATATTTCCCAATTGATGACAACAAAGGAAATTGTATATATCTTGAGCGTAAGGACCTACTTTGAATCTATAAAAATTGTCTCTTCCTCCTTATAATAATGTCCTAAATACCACGAAATTGGTTTAAAATAATGATGAATAACTTACGTGACGGCAATCCCAACAGCGTGTACTCTTTCGGAAATCATGCGGACAGCGGGATCGTAAAAAGCTAGAACGAGTTCAAGATAATTCGAATTTTAAAAAAATGAGGAGAAGAATTGATACAATATGAAAGAAACTTAAACAAAACCTTTAATGATCATTAAGTATTTTGAAACGGTTTGGTGTTAGGCGTAAGACACATACTGTTCATTGGTTGATTTGATATCGTTTCCAAGTTCACCGGGCTGATTTGGTGACGATCATCTACTATTTCGGCAGCACGGTCAACAGCGCTGATTTTCGGCGGGCACATTTTTCTTATCTATTTTTAAATTTGTTGTTTTGGTTTTTATTACTTATTTATGTAAATTACAGTTTGCTTGATTTTAATAATCCTGACAAAATATTTGGTTAACGTACTGGAAGAGTTAACATGCATTCTTACCGATGTTGCCAACCGCCAGACCTCCACCGTGAAAGTACAAGAATGCAGGGAGATCCCCTTCGCCGTCCTTCTTGTTTGGCTCGTACACTCTCACCCTGATACCATCGAATGACGTCACTCGTGACCTGATGTTTGACCCAGGTACCTCTTCCGGTGGATCCCCAACAAAGGTTCCAAATATGCTAAATGCCTCCACAAGCTCCTCGAAGATGTTTGGGCAACGACGGTCCCGCACACACATCCTTACGTAATTCTGTTGTACAAAATAAGTATGTGTCAGATCAATGGCGAAGCTAAGGTGGGGGGGGGGGCATGCCGAAAGGCCCACAAATAAGGAAAGAAAAAGAGGGAAAGAAAAGAAACAGAGAGTGAAAGATCAAAGAAAGACATGGTAAAGACAAAATGAAGACAAGCTGTACGACTCTCTCTCTCTCTCTCTCTCTCCGGCACCCTCACTTTAAGGCTTTGATATTTCGCATTTACTGATTTAACTGGTAAAACAGACTGGTGCCCCGATGACTCCAGAGCCCACCCCCCCCCCCCCCCAAATAGTACGATCCACGCTTCGCCAATGTTGCAGATGACAATAATGTTTTCTTTCTTTTTTAACTCTTATGATTCAATGACAATTTGATTACTGAGGGACGATACAGCTAAGGATCAGGCCTTAGAAATGATTGTGTTAAAGCAGTGAATTAGTTACTTCATCATTATAAGTGTGTACAGCAGAAATAGTTCTTTAGACTCTTAGAATCTTGTTCCTCTTTCGTTTTCCCAATTATCTCTCACAGATCGCTAGCCTGCTTGTTATATTTTTACCACATCAGGACTTATTCATTCAATGTTGTTTTCCTTTGCTTGCAATGCAACTAGCCCGGATATTTGGGTACCGTTTTGCTATATAAGAGACAATGTGACACCCGCTTCGTGAACATAATACATTTATTAACTTCTTGTTTTCTAGATATTATGATTGGAGCACTGGAGTCATGAGGACACCAGCCTATGATATCCGTTGTATAAAATGCAATATATCAAGGGCCTTAAAGTGAGGGGTGAGAGGGAGTCGTATCAACTTGTTTCATGTTGTTTTTACCCTTGGTCTGTGTACGATGTCTGATCTGTTTCTTTTTCTTTTCTAAAGCTTGTCATTTTAGTGTGGAAATGAAATCTTAATTGTCATCAAAATTGATACAATAGTCCCATTAGAAATAGTTTATATTTACGGTTCGTAAACAAATGGCTAGAAATGCCATCTGAACTATCACACATAGCAGCCTTGGTCTAGATATTCCACAAATATCTCAGATCTATTCAGAATTTCACTACCTATGCTCAGCCCATGGTCTCACGAGAGCGCACAGATGACAAAAGTAGAAAAAATATGAAATGAAAAATCGAATCCGTCGTAAAAGAGGACAAAAAAAAGTATGGGAACAAAAGATACAACTTTTGGTATTGCAGGGTCAGTTCCTAGCGTTGTTGTTAGAAAATAAGTCGTAGATCCATGAAATACTGACTGGGCACTGGGAACGACAAAGCAACTGAGACACGAATGCCAAGCACTGAGCAGATTGGCCTTCACCTCATTCTACACTGTTGGTCATAATGGTGGAATATTTATTTTTACCCCAGTTTAGGGAAGGATTTTTAAAAATTATTTATTTCTAATAGATCTAAATAATGGCATACATTCTCAGATTTTATTGAATATTAAATTGCGAGTGTTTGTTTTGCGTGACTGCTATATCATATGTGTGCTACTATGCTAATCAGCTAGGGAACCTACGTCCTTAAATCATAATTGACAGTAATGAGGATTAATGCCTCACAAAAGGGCACTAATATAGCTGATCAGCACGATTTTTATCCTGGGGCCTCACAGTAACGAGGCTATTGCTTAGCCCCTGAATCATGACTGTACGCAGTGTTTGCTAGGGTACGCGGCCCCTTCCACAAATCCCCCAAAACGAAGAAAATGCAATAAATTGTCAAAAATTCATTGCATTTTCCCCCGGCCCCCTACAGGAGGAAAAATTCCTCTGTGTGGCCATGCCTTGAACCATAATGCATGGCCCTACAGAGGAATTTTTCCTGTAGGGGACCGGGGGAAAATGCAATGAATTTTTGACAATTTATTGCATTTTCTTCGTTTTGGGGGATTTGTGGAAGGGGCCGCGTACCCTAGCAAACACTGCGTACAGTCATGATTCAGGGGCTAAGCAGTGGTCTCGTTACTGTGAGGCCCCAGGATAAAAATCGTATCGATCAGCTATATATTAGTGCCCTTTTGTGAGGCATTAATCCTCATTACTGTCAATTATGACTTAAGGACGTAGGTCCCTTAGCTGATTAGCATAGTAGCACACATATGATTAAGCAGTCACGCAAAACAAACACTCGCAAATTAATATTCAATAAAATCTGAGAATGTATGCCATTATTTAGATCTATTAGAAATAAATAATTTTTAAAAATCCTTCCCTAAACTGGGGTAAAAATAAATATTCCACCATTATGACCAACAGTGTATATGTGATTTTCAATCTAAGAAACGAGCCCTATATACTAATATGAAAACAAAGTATATGACTGAATAAAGATGATCGATATATATTATTGGCCCAGTCATTGCGATCAATAACTATTTCATACTATAGAGCCCAGGCCCCCATCACCTCACAGCCTGCATAGGCTACACAACATTGGTAACAGCATAGTGTCCTTGGAAACAGACCTAATATGTGTCCATTTTCAGACGGCGCCAAGAGGTTCATACAAAAAATAAAGACCCTTGGACAAGTTGGAGTTGGACCTAGGCCCTGTTTCATAAAACTTGTTATCAATAACAAGTAACAATAACTCTGATATGCTACTAAAATTGTGGCATTTGGTTGACTGAGAGCAAATTTGTCATACAATGTAGCATTTGTTATTGATAACAAGTTTGATGAAACAGACCCCTGGAATACTCACGAGGCCCTGAATGGCTTGGGAGATGGTAGCCGATGTACGGTACTGCCATGGTTCTGCAAAACCATCGGGAACAGGTTTATAGAAGGCATAGCTAACAAGGATTCCCATTCCCGCAAGGAATGTGAGTAGTTTTGTCCTGGTCCTCATGATGATCGTTCATAAAGTTATATACTTAACTTATAAAGTATACCGTTTACAGGTAGGCTACAAAGCCTTGCAATAGATGTCATCACATGCATGCATATACCCTTAGAGCTCAGCCGGGTGTGTCAATATTTGGGGCCTTTGTACTTTGACCGTTGTTCTTTGTACCGTACATCGCAAGTTCGTTTAACTTTGTACCGTACAATGCAAGTCATGTATCTCAGTCAGTAAGCGGCGAATGCTTACGAACGTTGCGAACTTTGGACCCGCCAACTTTTCTGACGAATGTTGGCGAAAATCAGTGTTCGCCTCTGCGACATTTAGCGACTTTTAGCGATGTTTAGCGACAATTAGCAACATTTGTTTTGAGCGAATGTTTGCGAAAGCGTTTGCAAAGGGCAGTGAGCGACTATTTACGACTGTAAGCGAATGTAAGCGATTTTTTCGCGAAGATTAGCAACTATTTGCCAATCCTTTGCCACTATTACTTTTGTGAATGTTTGGGACCTTTTATGTTGGCCATACGGTCACGTGGTCGCTAGCATTGAAAAAATATGATTAGTCCTGATCCTAAAAATTCAAGTTTGAAGTGAGTAAACATAATTTCATTTTGGACCCATTTGTGGACACATTTGGTATAAGTTAAAAAAACAGTGCCGTATACAGATACTTTTAACGCCGTGTATACATTCTTTTGTATTCGTAGTGTCTGGTTTGTCCGTACTACCAATCGTGATCAATGGTGGATCAAGGAATTTCTTTGAGAACTATTCCAACCCGTCCTTCAAACCAACTGTCATCGTTTCCACCTTCTTTATCTACGGGTTATCTATTACCATCTTCATCGCCTGCTACTCCGCCATCTTGAAAGTCATTTGGCGCAACCCCATCCATCGAAAGACCTCCGCCCGAGACCAAAGCACAACCAGCCGCATACGGAAGCAGCGAATTAAAATCCTCAATACCGTGTGCATCATCATCACCAGCAATGTCGTCATCTATGGCTATTTCTTCGGCGTTATTTTGTGGATCACGTGTGGCGGGCATACACGCGTCAGTGCGCGGTTCAGCAATGCGTTGCTGTACTCCTCAATATTGGTGGCTTATCTGAACCCTTGTATCAACCCGTGCGTGTATGCCTTCCACCAGATAAAGATTAGACGTTATCTATCTCGAAGAAAGCTGCGATATGAGCAAGCATCATGGAACGGTCGTCCATTACCAAGCACAAGATCGGAGATCAGAGCTCGGGAGGAAAGGTATGATAGTTTGATTGAACGTCCGTCATACACGAGACGTCGTCATTGTGCTGACGTAGGACCGCGTTAGCAATTCCTGAGGCAGTCTTTGACGCACCAAGTATGTGTGGAATTGATCAAAGAAGAAAGCAAAATAGACAGTGAATACATCGCATTAAATGGCAGGGTACATAATTTATGCTCGATGATGGTAGGATTGCCGGTAGAATTCTATTCCGCCAATCTGGGATCGATATCCAGGCGCACATCATTGTACGATTCCATGCAAGCTAGCGCAGCTAGCGCCACTTATTGACATAGGAGAAGCCATTGCAATGTTTCAGATAATAATTGACGCAACATGCCATTGTACTCAATCTGACCAACATGCGAAGTAGTGCCTGTCAAACAAAAGGCTTTATCTGTACGGTTCGCACGTGTCATAGTTGCATGAACTCTCTTCAATTTATTGTAGGAGAAGTGGTTTGACGCCTCTTTTGCAACCAGCATTGTGTCTCACGAGGCGGCGCTTCACTGAGTGAATCAAGGGCATTCACTTATCACCCATGCAGGCATAGACGCAAGTCATTTCTCCTTGACGCATGGGGTGCCAAAATCAAGGCCTAAATGGCGGGAGGTTTCGGATTTGAGTTCATTGTTGACATGGTTGACGGAACACGTTTCAACAAAATGTGAAGTGCGTGTCAATAATATTGCCCTATTGTTCAGCTTATTCATTTCGATATAAACTATTTAAAAAGAAACCAATTATTATCGCAGTTGAGCTACACCTCTTTTTCAGTCGGTATTACGAGCCACAAAGACATTTCTGTGGAATATGTTGAAAACTTTGATGATGGCAATGAAACAACTTTTATTATGAGATACGAAAATTCGACGAGAAGTCAATAAAAACAAAACATAGATTTTGTTTAAAGTAACCGACATTAACTAGATTAATATGCTTAAAAATGCTTAAACATGCTTAAAAAACAACCGCTTTTGAATATCAAAATCAAAGAACAACAGTTGTCCCAAGTAAAGAGCTTTAAATATCTCGGTGTACATGTGGATGAAAAATTAAAATGGGATGTTCACATTAAACAGACGTGTAACAAACTAAGTAAAATGGTTAGTTATTTATGTAGACTAAGACAATTTGTAAATATGTCTGAATTGAAATTAATCTATAATTCCATCATATTACCGCACTTTGATTACGGGGATGTAGTATGGCAATCTGCCTGCAGTAACAGTTTAATACAACTCCAAAAAATTCAAAATAGGGCCGGTAGAATCATACTTAAAGTTAACCCTTATTCGCATACTTCTACCAGTCAAATTCATAGCTGTCTTGGTTGGCAAATGATACGTGAAAGGCAACAAATCCATTTATTACTCCTAACTTACAAAACATTACATAACATGACCCCTGAATATTTGAAAGACATATTTGAGTTTAAACCCTCTCCATACTCCCTCCGTAATGCACATAATCTCTCTTTACCTAAGCCAAGAACTAATTATTGTAAAATAACTTTTGTGTACAGAGCTTCTTTTCAATATAATAAATTATCCCTTGATTTGCGTCAACTACCCACTTTTGCCACCTTTAAGACTAACCTAAACAGACTATAATCACCTTGTTGTAGTACCTCTTTATGTATGTTTATATGATGTTTGTTTTGTTTGTTTGTTTGTTTGTTTGTTTTTTCCTTTAAGTATTTGTATTAAGTTTTCGACAGATACTTTGTAATTATTTATTTTTTTAATTTGTAATATTATGTATATTTTGTATATTGTAAACTGGCCCCATGGAAGACCAGCAGCAACAATTATCGTTGCAGCTGAATATGGGCAACCAGCCGTATATTTGTATTTGTATATGATTATTTTTTATACGGAAATAAAAACAACAAACAACAACAATAATAGATTTGATTTGAATAAGACATCTCATATCTCTGTGTGTGTCTCTTGCCCCTTTACCCTCTCTCTCTCTCTCTATCACACACCCACGCACCCACACTTTTATCTCTCCATCCTCTCTCCTCCATTGATTCATTAAACTACTATTCCATTTCATGCTTTTGCAATCGTAATTAAAACTAGACATATAATACTTGTTTGGAACAAGTATAGGTGGGCTGGTCAACAAAAATTTGAGACAAAATAGAGCAAAAATAAGCGACATACTGCTTACAAATTCTTAAAAAACAATATCATGTAGATTCATAACGTGAACTAAATTCACCTTCTATAGGCATAACACGCAAATTATGAAGTTTTTGACATGAGGCCTTTAATCAAAATTTTCACTATGATGACGTCATCAAAATGAAAAATGATTATTACTGCGCTTGTAGAGAATTGTCTTAGCTACAACATATCGCAATTTTGAAGAAAATTAATCAATATTTACAGAGATACAATCAATTTTACATAAATATGCTGACGTCATAATATGCAAATTCGTATTTTGAGTTCCAAGGCCATTGTGATGATGTCACGATACACTTAATGGCCAAATGAGACATGGAATCATATTTCCGACTCATACTCTATCTAAATATGAAAAAAAATTGAGGATCCCGGTGCATTCCAAAGAGCTATAATGGATTTTGTATTGGCATGTTTTTGCCCATATATGCTATGTATTAAAAGAGCTCGCGCGCACTGACATTTATCTTGAATTTACGCTCATCTTGTTAATAATGGTCATAAAGAGATAAACATGGTATCAAATTCCTTGAAAAAATATGAGAAATATCATGAAAGAAAAAAAATGGCGATTCTATGTTTTGTAATGGTGTTACGCGCGAAAACGCGCGCGCATGCTCCTACTCGCGATTTTTTAAAAATGCTTAAAATGACCTGAAACGTATGCAAAAAAAATTTGAGAAGATTTTGAGCATTTTAAAATTTTGCGCGCGCAAGGACGCGCGGACGTACGCGCAAGCGCGCGTTTTTTGAACTGAAATTGACCGGACTGATAATGACCTTGATCATGATAAATATAAATTAGAAATGACTTTTGGTTATAAAGATATGATCATGAGTTGATTTTTACAAAATGGCGCTTAGATGACGTCATCAGTCAAGGTCAAGGTTGAAAACGTTATTTTGCTTTCTCTATATGCCTATACATATGTGTGCAAAATTTCAAAGCATTTGATTGAACCATTTCAAAGTGATCTTGCTCACAAAAAAGTGGTTCGAAATAAGAAAAATAAATAAATAAAGGCGATTTTAACAAAAATATAAGGTGGTCTGTATTAAATACAGCCCACCTAATAAAATACCAATAATATTTTGTTAAATTGTATAACATTTTGATGACTACAAATAGTAAAAACGTACCTCTTAAATTTAATGTAATATATTTAAAACTACGAAGCATATTCGTGATTCAACAAGTTTTTTATTAAAATATTTTCAACATTGCCAAATTGTTATACATGTACTTTTTATTGATTTTCATTACATTGTATTAAGACACATATATATCCATGTGACTGTGTAACATCAACAAATTATTAGATAGGTTTCCGTCGGTAACAGATAACATAAGTTAGTCAACTATTGTAGCACATGCACCGGGGATGTGCTAGAGATTATGGACACGAAATCAAATTATGTTTTGTTGGGAGAATCTATTTTCCTCGTGAAAACGATGATGAGAATAGTGACGCTGAGAATAGTGATGATGATGATGATGATGATGATGACGATGGTGGTGATGGTGGTGGCGGTGGCTTATATAGATTATGTAGCTTCTGCTGGGCGAGCATGGCCCTTGTTTCAAAATATCTCACGGAATTTTCAAGTTGTCAGACTGTAGCTAGTGTGTGTTTCGAAAGCTTAATTCCATTGTTCTGCCATTGGTTGTATATCAGGTTGTAAGAATGATTAAGTGGTTTTAAAAAAAATTAAAAATCATGAAGATTTGTTAACCATTCTTTAGATAAAATGTGTGACGCAATACACACTGTTGACCATAAAGTTAGCATAACATTTCCATATCTTATTTCATGAAAATGATTGTGACAATGGTTAATCTTGATCAAGTTTATATTTACTCAGAAATCTTTTATTCAACATCTATGATTATTTATATTGATCATACAGTTCTGAGAAGATATAAACTTTATCTATCAAGAATAGACCATACTGTCACGATTATTTTATAAGAAGTGGGAAGAAAAAATATTGACAATTTAGGGAATATACATACATTGAGAAAATAATTCTCACGATCAACATGTTTAGAGATTGAATATCTTCTCTTTTATCAAAGATGCTCTTTTGTATATTCGATAAAATCTTCGGCCATCTGTCGCCCGATTTCATATGAATTATCTCCAAACCACGTAATGCCATGAAAACCGTCTTCATAATTCACCCACTTCACTGGCACGCCCGCATATTCCAGCCTCTTTGCATAGAATATCCCGTCATCGCGTAAACAGTCGTATCCGAACGTCGCGACGAACGCGCGGGGCAATTTGGAAAAATCTTCGCGATAGAGAGGCGAAAACTTCGTCGAGGTCAAAGCGTCCTTCATGTTCTCCCATAGCTCGTCATCACCGAAGTCTGATGTCGGAGGGACATAGCAATCCGGCTTCATAT